ACGTCCATGATTCATGCCCGTGCGCCCCATTTTCTGTGGCCTCACGCGGTTCGCTACGCCGCACACCAGCTGAACCTCCAGCCGCGTGTCTCGCGGCCCGAGGCTTCACCGACCAGTCTCTGGACTGGATCCCCTGGTGTTGGGTTGGCCTTTCGAGTCTGGGGCTGCCTTGCACTTGTTCGCGACACCTCCGCGGACAAGCTCTCGGCACGCGCCGTCCCCTGTGTCTTCCTTGGTTTCCCAGTGGACTCTGCTGACTGGTCCTTTTACCACCCTCCCCTCCACCAGTTCCTAGATTCCCGTGACGTCCGGTTTGACGAGTCCGTGTCCTACTACACCCGGTACCCCTGTCGAGGTCTCCCGGTACCCCCTCCCCCTCTCTTCCTCGCACCCTCTCCTCCTCCTGCTCCCGCTCCTCTGGTACCCCCGCCCCCCCCTGGTCCTGCCCCGTCTGGTGTGTCCCACGCTACCCCTCTCCCCTCGGTCGCGCGTCAGGTAGCGTCTCCCTCCCCGCAGTCCTCCCCACAGTCCCCTCAGCAGCCTTCGGCACTTCCGCGACAGGTTACTGTGGACTCGGTTGGTGTTGGAGCTGGAGGTGCAGCCGCTGGCGGTGCTCGGTCTGGGGGTGCTCGGTCGCGGGGTACTGGAGCTGGAGGTGCTGGCGCAGGTGACGCTGGTTCTGGGGGTGCTGGAGTTGGGGGTGCTGGCACTAGCGGTGCTAGTTCTGGGGGTGCTGGAGTTGGAGGTCCTGGCACTGGCGGTACTGGTTCTGGGGGTGCTGAGTCTGAGGAGACTGACGCTGGAGACCCTGGTTCTGCGGAGTCCACCCCGCCCCCCCACCGCCACGACACGCGTCTCCAGGCTGCCCGTCGGCGTGAGCGTGAGGAGCAGGAGCGGTTGGAGAGGGAGCGGCAGGAGCTGCGGGTGCTGGACCTTCTGGAGCAGCAGCGGCAGCAGCAGCAGCAGCAGCAGCAGCAGCAGCAGCAGCAGCAGCAGCAGCAGCAGCAGCAGCAGCAGCAGCAGCAGCAGCAGCAGCCGCAGCCGCAGCCGCAGCCGCAGCCGCAGCGGCCGCAGCCGCCACCGCAGCTTCCTCTAGAGCGGCGGTTGTTCCCACCTGTGAGTGGCCTGCGGGCCCTTGGCCTTTCCTCCTCTCCTCCTGTCCGCTCCCAGTCTCTTCCTGTGTTTGTTCCTCCGTTGCCTCCTCCTGACGACCGTCCGGCGGTCTGGTCTTCTCCTCCTCCTCAGTCTCCTCCTCCCTCTGTCCGTCGCGACTTGATCACTCGTTGTCCTCCGCGTGCTCGTCACTCGTCCCCTGTTACTGACCTCCACACTGCCCTCCTTTGTTCGTCTCGTCGTCGTTCTCCTTCTCCTGTGTCCGTTCTCCCGTCTCCTCCTCCGTCCTCTCTACCTGCCCTCCCCACTCCTATCTCTGACTACTACCGCGCTGTTCGTCCTGTTGCCGCTCGTGTCCTCACCACTCTTGTCACCGACCCTCGTTTCCCTCCGTCGTCTGTCTCGGCTCTCACTGCCGCTGTCGCTGAGTTTGCTGCCGCCAGCCGCCTTGACTACGCCACCCGTGTGGTGCCAGCTCCTCCCTACCGTCCTCTGTCCGTCGGGGGTGGGTTTGCCCTTGGCTGTGACGTCCTAGAGGACAGAGAGTCCGAGCTGGAGTACTGGGCAGCCGCTTCTCCCTCTGTGTGTGCCATGCTGCTCTCCCCTGAGGGAGATCCCGACGCCCTTGACATACCGACTCCTCGCACTTACCGCGAGGCAGTGTCAGGGGCGTGGGTCTCTCAGTGGAAAGCGGCTATGGACTCAGAGTTGGCGTCTTGGAGATTCACAGGCACCTACGTCGACGCAGTTCCCCCTCCCAGGGCGAACGTAGTCGATGGCATGTGGCTCTTCAAGGTGAAGCGGCCGTCTGGAGCACCGCCGGTGTTCAAGGCGCGCTACGTGGCTAGGGGTTTCAGTCAGCGTGAGGGAGTTGACTTCTTCCAGACCTTCGCCCCGACCCCGAAGATGACTACTCTTCGGGTGTTACTCCACATAGCAGCGCAGCGAGACTACGAGCTGCACTCCCTCGACTTCTCCACTGCGTTCCTCCAGGGCCGACTGCACGAGGAGATCTGGCTGCGCCGTCCTCCTGGCTTCACTGACACCTTCCCACCTGGGACCCAGTGGAGCCTGAGGCGACCAGTCTACGGTCTCCGCCAGTCGCCCCGTGAGTGGCACGACACTCTTCGCTCCACGCTTCGTGACCTTGGGTTCAGCCCGTCCTCCGCCGACCCGTCGCTGTTTGTTCGAGCGGGTTCTACTCCTTTCTTTATCCTTGTCTACGTCGACGACTTGGTGTTTGCTACAGCAGACAGGGCAGCCCTGGCTCAGGTGAAGTCCGAACTGCAGAAGAGACACAAGTGCACTGACCTGGGTGAGCTGCAGCGCTACCTTGGCATGCAGATCACCCGGGACAGAGCCGCTCGCACCATCACACTGACGCAGTCACACATGGTGCAGCAGGTCCTTCGGCGGTTCCACTTCCAGTTCTCCACCACACAGCCCACTCCTCTTGCTGTTGACCACAGACTCACGGGCCCCTTTCCTGACGAGCCCTTTGAGTCCAGTGGACCCTACGCAGAGCTGGTGGGCTGCCTCATGTACCTGATGACTTGTACTCGACCGGACCTCGCCTTTCCACTCAGCATCCTTTCTCGCTTTGTTGCGACTGGGAGACACCGCCCTGTCCACTGGACAGCTGCTGTGAGGGTGGCGAAGTACCTGGCGACTACATCAGGCTTGGGGCTTGTGCTTGGAGGGACTCAGCCAGTGGCGTTGACTGGTCACTGCGACTCTTCCTACGCTGACGACGTGGAGACTCAACGTTCGACTCAGGGTTACTGCTTCAGTCTGGGAGCTGGTGCTGTGTCGTGGAGGTCTACACGGTCGTCGTCTGTGGCTACTTCCAGTGCAGAGGCAGAGATCTACGCTGGTGCCATGGCGGCACAAGAGCTTCGCTGGTTGACCTTCTTGCTCGCTGACCTTGGTGAGCGGCCTCGCTCTGCACCGACCTTGTACGCTGACAACAAGGCCATGATCCTCCTGTGTCGAGAGCCTCGACTGGAGAGCAGAGTGAAGCATATTGACGTGAGGTACTTCCTCCTGCGAGAGCTGCAGCGACGCGGTCAGGCACGCCTGGACTTTGTGGCCTCAGAGGCCAACACTGCAGACGTCTTCACCAAGGCCTTGGCGCTTGGTGACCACCACAGGTTCTGTGTGCAGTTGGGGCTTGTTGAGGTAGGCCCTCGGTTGGTGTAGTCCTGTTGCTTGCTCTGCTTGTTGTGCTTTGTATTTATATCCTAGTGAACTCTTGAACTGGCCTTGTGGCCGCTTGCTTGCGCTCGGAATTTGTGTGGTGTCCTTGAGATCCACCCTGAGCTTGCCTTGGTTCTTGCTTTGACTGGTCTTGTGACCGTTTGTTCACCTTGCTTGCTTTGATGCCCCTCACTTAGCCTATGGGGGTGTGTCAAATGTTGAACATTGATATGATAGGCTATAGTGAGTTGCACTCTAGGGGGTACAGCTTCTAGGGTTGCTCATTTGTACCCCATTCGTTTCTATTCCAATCATTCCGTTGTTCGCTAACTTTGAGACCATGCCCCACCATGCTCCACGATGCTCCACCGCACTCCACCAGTCTCGTGACCCCAACCATGTGCCATCAGTGTCTGGTACAAAACAGGTTGAGACCCAGCACCCACCAATTGCACACCACGCTTTCACTTCACACTCCTCTAGCACCCAACCCCCCTGCTACAGCCTGCGAGCTTAGTGAATAGGGACGCCTCGAGCTGGGCTCTGAGGGCGCCCTTGGGGAAGGCGGGCGTGGTGACGAGCACGTAGAAGGAGGAAGGCATCTGGCACAGGGGGCGATGGGGGTGGAGGGGAAGAGGAGAGGGTGGTGAGAACGATCGCTCAGAGCTGGGCTTAGAGGGCCCCCTTGGGGAAGGCGGGCGTGGTGACGAGCACGTAGAAGGAGGAAGGCATCTGGCCAGGAGGGGGAGAGGGGGGAATGGAGAGGACGGGAAAGCGGAGAGAGGGAAGTGAAATGTGAGAATCTCGCTCTGAGCTGGGCTCTGAGAGCCCCTTTGGGGAATGCGGGTGTGGTGACGAGCACGTAGAAGGACGAGGGCATCTGGCAAGGAGGGGGGAGGGGAGAAGGGAGAGGACGGGGACGAAAGCGGAGAGAGGGAAGTGAAAGTGCATGTGAGAATCTCGCTCTGAGCTGGGCTCTGAGAGCCCCCTTGGGGAAGGCGGGTGTGGTGACGAGCACATAGAAGGAGGCAGGCATCTGCCGAAAGGGAGAGGGACGGGGGAGGGCGGAGTGGGAAATGACGTGGAGGCGCGGGACGTGAGAACGATCGCTCTGAGCTGGGCTCTGAGGGCGCTTCTGGGGAAGGCGGGTGTGGTGACAAGGATGTACGAAGGAGGCAGGCATCTGGAGAAAGACGTGAGGTGCCTCAAAAACAGATTCTGGGGACGGTGGGCATCTGGAGAATGGGAGAGAGAGGAAGGGGTAAGAAGGGTGAAGAGCGAGTGTGCGGTTATGCAGGGTGTGGTGATGAGGACGTGGAGGGAAAGGGGTGGTGAGAGGGGAGGGGAAGGGGAAGAAGAAGGAGCAAACTGGGAAGGGAGTGGAGAGTGGGAAGGACCGAACCTAGCTGACATGTCAAGGGGAAGGAGGGAGGGTGAACAAGAGGTGGAAGGGGGACGAGAGGGTATATCTGAGAAGAGAGCCACAGAGAATGTGATTGAGAGGGCGTTGTTGGGAAGGGGATGGGAGAGGGAAGGGGGTGGAAGACACAACCGAGTGAGAGAGGAAGCTGTTACGTGTTGACAATGGTTTTGCGGCCTTGACACATGGAACAGGGAGACATTGGGATGCAGCAACATGGTGTATAGTTGGCGATCAATATCTTGTAAGGAGTGGCACGTTAGTACTGTACCCGCATGATCATCGAGAACAGTAATTTCAGCGACTCCCCGGTCGGAATCCTCTTCTTGCTCGCCTGCTTGAACACGCCCTGAAGCGCAAATCCATTCCCCGCGCCCGTCCCCGTCCCCTTACCCTTCCCCTTCCCCTTTCCCTTCCCCTTCCCCCGTCCAAAAAGTTTTCCCACGTTGCCCCACGCCTTGTCAGCAGTGCCAGCAGGGATCCACGTGGACGAGTTGAGGTTGAGGATGGATAGGCCATTGGCTGTGGCGGCTGCCACGTGGAGGGATGCTGACGTGGGCTTCTCTGACGTGCTGAGCTGGCTGACTGTGACTTGGTAGCGGATGTTGAGATCTGCTCCTGATCTGCCACGTCGGAGAAAGGGGAGAGATGGGAGAGGCGGGGTTGAGATGGAAGAAAAGCGAGCTCAGGATAACGAAAAGTGAGAGGATGGGGAATCAGGAATGTGGGGTCTGGAGGTAAGGGAAGGATGGGGTGGTAACATGGAAGTGAAGAGGTGGTATCATGGTTGCAAAAATGAGATAGATTTTGCTTCCATGTAGAAAAGAGTCATGAAATGCGATTGCTAGAATGTGGGGAAGGAGGGGAGGTGGGGGGAACGGAGGGGAGTGAGGAGGGGGGGGTTGGGTGGAAGGAAAGGAGCAGGAATTAAGTGTAAGTGGCAATACTCATTAGCTTGCACGAGCTGTTACTAGATAAGATTTTAGTGATCCTGACGTTTCCTGCTTCTTCCTACTAGTACACTGTGCTTATCCTTTGTAAACTGCGTAACCTCGTAATTTCTCAATTCTCAATTCAATAACAAAAAAAAGGCTGAGATGCATACTGTACTCTCACTTGATTATTACAAACGTCACTTTGCCCGAGGCCCCGCGGTCGCCCGCGCTGCCAACCACATTCGCTCCAGACAGTGTGCCATGTACCTCCCCTGGCGAACAAGACGACGCGACATGGGAACGGGGAAACAGCTAAACCTCGCATCCGCACTGGACAGAGAATCCTCAAAAGCGACTCGCATCCGCACCAGACAGTGTGCCGTGCACCTCTCCTGGCGAACAAGTCGACGCGACATGGGACGGGGAAGCAGCTAAATCTGAGCGACTCGCATTCGCAGCAAACACCTCAGCCTGCGAGGCGGAGGACGCAACGCGGGGACGGGGCAGCACATTGCAGAGCAGAAGGGGTCGGCGAGGGTAAGCGGGATATTCAAGGGGGGGAAGAGAGGTAAGGGAATTGGTGAGTGGGAAAAGGCGCGAGTGTTGGCAAAGTGGGTTGGTTTGAGGGAGTGGGTGGAAGAGGAGCGGGTATGTGTGGTGGGGCGGAAAGGGGAGGGGAAGGGCAGGGTGGGAAGCCCCGCTAAACGAAGGCTCGTTATATGTTTCGGGATTAAAATTCACAGAAAACATACGAGGACACTTGACGACGAGGCACAGACGTGAGGGGAAGGAACATGTGGATATGGGGGGTCGTTGGACATGTGGGCGTGCAGGGAGGAAGCCACGTGGACCAGGGATCCACTGAAAGGAACAGCGATCAGTTTCTGCTGCAACTCCGTTATATTCACGTCCCGCTGCCCGCCTCCACCTCCGCCCCCGCTTCCGCCTCCGCCTCCGCCTCCGCCTCCGCCGCCGCCGCCGCCGCTGCCAGGGAATCCCGGAAGTCCCTTAGATGCGACGACTTGAGGGGCGTGAGTGAGGGGGGGAGTGGGAGGGGGGAAAGAGTACGGGGAAGAAGTGGAAGGGCGGACGCAACGGGACAGTGAGAGAGGAGAGGAAAAAGGCAATATCCGAGGGCGCCTCACAATTAAACCAGAAACTTCAGGACTGATGTGGAGATGACTGTAGGGGTGTGATGGAGGAACCTGAGGGCAAACAGGACAGGCGGGCGCGTGGGGGGGAGTGGGGAAGAGGGGGATAAAGGCAATATTTGAGGCGCCTCACAAGCCGCGAGGAAATTCAGGGGTTGCTGCCTGTAGTGCGACGATTGCACGGGTGTGATGGAGGACCTTGGGGAAAGGCATGCCTGGCTGGCGCACGGGGGAGAGAGTGTGAGTGAGGAGCCTCACAAGCCGCCACGAAAGCAAGGATCGCGGCCTGGGATTCGCGTGTGCGAGATTCAGGGGCTGCGGCGCTGGTGTGGGGAGTTTTTTTAGGCGCCTCAAAGGTGGCGCTGTTGCGGGGAAAAGGAGTTGAGAGGGGGAGAGGAGAGTATGCGGATTCAAGCGCTGGACTGACGGGGCGCTTTCCAGCCGTCGCCAGTGATTGTTTTTGCGGCTTAAAAAATCGTCCGAAGCCGTCGCCAACAGGTTTGAGTCGCCTAAATGATCGCCAAATCCGTCGCCAGCATGACGCGCAGTGTCACGAAATGTGTTGAAAGGAAATGATTGTGCAAGAGGCACATGCTGCCATGCCAGAGAGTGCCATGCCATGCCATGCCAGAGAGAAAAAACAAAAAAACACCACGTGTGCAGTGGAATAAGCCAACAGGAACTAACAGTCCATTGGCATATGCTGCTTGTTGTTATGTCAGAATTTATAGTTGATTAAAAAAATCGGCTCGCTACACGCTATTTATCTTGTCGGCTCTGAATAGGGCTAGCGAGAACTGACATTTCATTGACATACACTGTTTTCTCTCACGTCAGAGGGAGATTTTCACGCGTTTTTGTTCGTGGGACTTCTGCCTTTGCCAGGAAAATCTCAACATTCGCTGTGGTTTAGTTGCAAGGGAAGAGGACTCACGGAATGATGGTAGAATAAGAGTCCCTAGTAGCGTTGCGGCCAATCTAAGAGTTGGCGAGGCGCCTCGCCGGCGTCGATTAGGTGCGGAGTTGGCCGGAAACGTCGTATCGCGCATGCTGCTTATCAGTTTCGGCGCGATTTTACGCCTGTGCTGTTAATGTTGTCACGTCGTCGGTAGTAGTCCAAGAAAAATATGGCTCCTGACAATTATTTCCTTTGATATTCAAATCTCCCTCCGGCGCTGGCGGAACAATAAGATCCCTCTCGAACCAGATGAGACCGCGAAGCCTAAACGACGTTATGAGTGGAGTTGCGTGCGAGCTCCATTCACGGCTGCGGTCAATTGCTATGGTCTACGTCGCGAGTCAAGGGAGGTGACTCGAATGGAAAACGCGAATTCAGAAAAGGAACGAGCGAAAGGGCACGCGTCTGTGCCTGTCCTGTCTCGAGCCGTGGCCCGTGGGTCTCTTGCTCCTTGTGGTTCGTCGTGCAGTTCGATGCTTGAGGCACTTCTGTTGTAAATGTGAGACATTTTTCTGATTGCGCCCCCGGCAAATTAGATCCGACCTCGAGTGGAATCCAATGTAGAGCACTTGCGGTTTTTTTTTGTGAGAATTGCAGGGATGGCACGGAAGCAGCCATTTTACGTGCTGGGCTAAACGCGGTTCGGTAGTCGTGGCACATTGGATTGGATCCTCCTCCTCTCCCTCTGACGCACCGCATTCAACTCGGCTGACGTGTAGTAGCATTACACTCCTGAATAAACCTCATCGATAGCATCTCGAATATCAGAGGTCGTGCCATTTCATTACACGTCTAGGAGAGTCATATTATGGCAATTATTAGAGTCAGGAACATTGGGCAAAACTATGTGCTAAAGGTAGACGCTACTATTACGCTGATTTATACTAGGAAACCAATAATCGTTTATAATTTGGAGTGTGGATGCAAGCATTATGAGAAAATGTAGGTACATTGATTAGTTGTACCATGTAACATCATAGTAGGTGCTCATGTAGCAGCTCTAGGGAATATTCAACAGCAAGTGCAGTCAATAATCACATCCTCCCTGAGATTCGCGCTTATCGCGCCGTCGCATGCGCGAGAGACCGAAACAAGTTGTGCATGTGATACAGTGTCACAAGACTATTCTTCGCGAAGAGTTGAACGAGGTTTTAGAACCTGATTTCGTTACTTCGTGAACGGAATCACTCATAGTTCACGACCTCACCACAATTATTCGCAAACAATGTTGGTCACACCAACAACCCATTTTTTCCAAAGCCGTGAGAGTCATGTGCGCGACTCACGGTGCCATTCCTCGAAGCAATTCGAAGTAGAGTAGAAAGAGCAGTCACCATCGCTCATCTCTTCACGAAATCCTGACATCTTTACCATCCTACCTAGAAGGAGCTGCTTATAGCACCAGCTTGACCGTCTACACCTAGAAGCAAAAATGACTTTCTTCGGCCACTCACCCGCTAAGTCCACTTTTATTGTCCTCGTCATCGCTTCCGCGATGCTCCTTTCTGCCCTTGCCCGCGCCTCTGCCGCTGCGGGTTCCGCCAACGCGACAGCGCCTGCTAACGCGACTGCTTCTGCTAATTCGGTAGCGCCTGCTAACGCCACTAAGTCTGGAAATGCTACTAAAATCAGTAACAGCGCCGTCGGAATGGCGACGGCGAGGCAGAGCAAGGGCTCGGGCGAAGGAAAGAACTCCACATGCGCCTACTACGGCAACTACAACGCGAACCCCTACTTCGCCAAGGGGCTCACGGCGAAGCTTCCTCCCGCGCTCTTTGGCAAGCGGTGCGGCGCGTGCTACAAGGTGGAGTGCACAAACGACACAAAACGCTGCCGCAGCGGCAAGGCGATCGTGACCGTCCGCGTCGTTGGCGAGACGACCACAGAGAAGCAGCTCACGCTCTCCGCCGTCTCATGGTCCAAGATCGTGCAGGGATCCGACACCGCCCCCGTCGGCGTCAAGTACAAGCGCACCAACTGCCTTTCGACCGTCGGATCGGGCGTCCGCGTGCGCAGCAACTCTACCGCGGAGAAGTTCAACATTCAGATGGTGGGGCTGGCCGGCCCCGGTACGCTTACCGAGGTGGAGCTTAGCGCGGACGGCAAGAAGTGGGCGAAGCTGACGCGCGACGGCAGCAGGGCCGTGTGGGGGATCGCAGGCGCGGAGGCGAAGGAGGTTGTGGGCGCGAAGAAGGCGATGAGCGTTCGCCTCACTGCGGGACACACGCTCGAGAAGATCACCCTCGAAAATGCCATTCCCGCTAACTGGAAGCCCCAGACTGTGTACTCGTCCAAGACCAACTTTAAGAAGCTCATGGCTGAGGCTAAGTAGACGCCGCCTACTCGGGGTGCTCGAGGCGCCGCTTTAAGAGCCTCTGTACTCGTCAAATATCAGAGAGGCATTTTTAAAGGCAAGTAAAGGGCGGTAGTGGTGATTTTCATTGGCGACGTGAGGGATGATGGAGGGGTCTTAAGGGCTTTTAGGTGTTAATGGCTGATTCTTGTGGGGTGGCGGCTGGGAGGGGAATGTGGGTGGTGGCTGGGAGGGGGAAGTGGGTTGGGGAGGGGGGCGTGGGGTGGGGGTGCTGGGACTTGGAAGAAATTCGTGTATGTTTTCTTTATTTCATTCTATTTATTGTGTTGCCTTAGTTCCAGCCGCCAACTCACAAAAACCCACTTACAGTAAAAGATCGGAGGTGCATGCCAGGTACCGTACGCTCCTCACACACACCTTGCTGTGCAGAGGGGTCACTGGACGTCCAGAGGATTGAGCTAGGACAGAACACATAAAACCCACTTTCCGGAATCACTTAAGGATTACTCCAGGAAGAGGAAAGGCTGGGCAAGCAACAATCCAGCATTGGAGCTTCTATGGCGTCTGACAAATTATGGATGGGTGGCTGTTCGGGTGAGGCAGAAAAGCATATGCCCATGGAACCTCTGGTCTGGTGTGATTACGCATGCGCGGATGGCAACTGCCACAGTTACAGATGGGCAGCATCCCCCCAATCATGTCATAACCCTGGCGTGGGTGGGGAGGGAATTGGCAGGGTGTACAGCATGTGCAACGCCCCTGCAATAGGGCCATGGATGGGGGGTGGGGTGGGAAAGGGAAGGAATGCCCCCATGCCGTCACCGCCACCCAGTGGCATTCGTGCAAGCATATTGCTTCCTAATAAACACAGGGGCCTGATGTATGTTGTACACTCAAGGAAATACTTGTGGTGTGATTACTTAAATGCAGATAACAAAGAGAACGCTCATTCCGTTATGTATGCCTAACGGATATCGCCAACTAAAGGCGTAGGTATCGAAGAAACTATCTGTGTATAACATGGAGGGCGCGTTCACGAGGAGCTCCTTCGCGCCCAGCCAATATCCTAGTTTTGGGTTACTCGCTCCCAGTCACCGCACCCCGCTTGATGGTGTTTGATTGCGCCGAAATCTAGGGCGGAAAGGGGCCGCATCTGCTGGAATATATCACAGCTCCCCAGATACAGCCTGCTGCTGCGCTCCTCCTGCGGCGGCTGCTGATGTCTTCTGCCTTGGCTCATGCTCTGCTCATGCTTCGGTCGCTAACTGATCCCTCTCTTATGTTGGCACGTTGAGGGTAATCTAGTCGCTGCTAACTGTAAGCTGCCCGCGAACGGCGCCAAGTGGGTACGCGGGCGTTTTTACGATGATGTAGAACTGCTTTGGGTCCTTCAGGATCGCGAGAATCAGCTGCTTTACAGTCTCGCCCGATACAATCTTATCCTCGCTCGTCGCGCTGTACGTTCCACTAAGCATGTAGTTGTTCCCCTGCGTCGTCCGCGTTACAAGGCGCTTTGCATTGGGGTTGAAGCGGCGCCAGTTGGCCTTTTCGAAGCGAAAAATCTCGGGGCCGTTGGCGCGGGCCCGAGCCACGTGGATAGCGGCGGAAACGGGAACCTCGGTGTTGGTGACCTGCGAGACGGTCACCATGTAGTTAAGACTAAAGTCGCCGCGCCACCTGTAGGGCGGAGAGTGAGAGAGAGGATGAGAGGACGGCGGGTAAGAAGAGAGTGAGAGGAGCAGGCCCCTCGGTATTGGTGAGCTGCGACACGGTCACCATATAGTTAAGGCTGAAGTCGCCGCGCCACCTGTAGGGAGAAAGTAGCGGGAAGAGAGAGAGGATGCGAGGACGGCGGGTAAGGAGAGAGCGAGAGAGGCCGGCACCTCGGTGATGGTGACATGTGAGACGGTTACCATGTAACTGAGGCTGAAGTCGCCGCGCTAGCTGAGGGGAGAGGATCAGGGGCGCAAAAACGCATATGGGAGACCAGGAATTCAACGGGGAAAAGAAGGGGCCGAAGGGGTTGTTTCGAGAGTTATCAGAAAACGCGGCCAAAGGGGCGGTAGGACTAACGGACGTGAGCAAGAAGCTTTCGTAAACCGGCCTCACGGAATTTCTGTCTCCAGCGATTGTAGCAAGAGCTAACGCGCTTGAAGCACACTCACTTGTACACGACGAGGTTGGCCCAGCCGGTGGCCTGCTGATCGCCCGTGGTGGCGACGATTTCGCTGCCGTTCATGCTCGCGTGTAGCTCCTCTGTAACCAAAAAGGTGGGGGGAGAGTGTGGAGGTTTAGAGAAACATGTTGATTCTTGTGGATTTAACATCTCGACAGAACACCCCGTCCACCCCGTTTCGGGCCATGGACGAAACGGACGCCTGGAACTTTTGTTTTTAAAACCATTGCATGTCGTGGTAGACTGAATAATCTGTTGAAGTAAGTTCAACACGAGCTTTCAGACTTACTGTAGGGTACTCTAAGAACCCCTGCCGTCAATCGCGTGGTGTTGAAGACTGCCGCCCAGTTGATCGCGCGGCCGCTCCGCGTTTGCGCAAATGAGCCTGCGTTATAACGGAGGCATCGCATAGAAAATAATGTTTAGCGTCAGACACAGTGAGAGGAAGAGGCAAAGGCGGGAGAGAGAGCAGAAGGGAGAATGATTAAAACAACAAAAGTATGTGGTTCCCTCCACTCGGACAGGATATCTGCGAGATAAAATCGGCGCTTCCAGTAAACGTACATGAAACAGGCAGGAGTAGGACCAGAACGAATAGCAGCGTTGTTCTTGATGCCATTTTCACTCCTTCGCGAAGAAACACTAAATTCTAGTTCAGAAGAAACACTAAAGTCGATGGCCTGATATGTGGAGAGAAACTAGCGTAACCTGAAAACAAATCCCGTACTGATCAATGGTTGTTCTTGTGGTTAGCAACTAAGCACTACCGCCTAACGGTTGTGACGAATTTGAAGAGGCGGAACCCTTGTTGCCACTGGAATGCTGATGAAATCGTGCACGACCGAATTGGCTGGAGGAGGGTGGTATTCAAATTGCGGCATGCGGCGCGTCCAGGTGCGGCTCGGACAAGGAAGGGTGATAGATTTGGCTGTGGCTGGATGCTTGTTCGTGCGGGTTTTGCGGAGGGTGTGTCGTGGGGGGGAAGTGCTGGCGCCCAGATTTTGGACGGTAGTAGCTGGCGCATTTGAACACCGTGGCCACGAAACCCCGCACTTGTCGCTCGCATCAGCAACACTTCTGCCATCCAAGATTTGTGCGAATAAACCCCCTTCCTGGTAACCAGAAAGTTTCTTATTACCGCAGCAGTCCAGCTCTTTCAAATAACACTTAAAAAAATACTAAATGAGGGGAAACAGACAGAATAGTAATATAATCATTTTCTTAAGAATCATACGCAGTGGTTGTTGATAAATCGAAACCCGACTGCCTAATCTAAAGAAGATTGCGGCCAGTCTGCCCTCCATTCCCCTGGTGACAGTTGCACGACATTGATTGCCCAATGGGCGGCGGAGAGCTTCGAGCACAAGCACAGAGAGATCATGAACACCAGAACTTACAAAATTGGTGAGCAAAAGGTGGGGACACTAGTAAACCGAAAATTGAAGTTGCATGCATGCTCCACACTCAAGCTCACCTTGTCTATAAACTGCGAATACTCTGACGCCATCCAGGCAGCTGCCCGAGCCTCCGCCGCCTCCACTACTGACAGCCTCGACGAAGCTCCACTCCCTCCCAAGCCTGTATCCGAGCCTGCTCCATTCCGAACCTCTTGCCAGACCTCTTGGAGGGCTGTGAGAGCGTGGATGTACGCCCGAAGCACGTCCGCATTCGATGCATCTCGATGAATGATGGCGTGGACATGTGGCAATGATGGCGATGGCGATGGTGGAGATTGTGATTGTAATGGTGGTGATCTTGTGGGTGTGAACACCAGAAGGTAACGACCTGAGGCGGATGGAGATCAAGAGATTGGAGAGAGTGGGAGAGGAGCGTAGGAATTGCTGTATATACTTGGAGGAATATGAGTACGTTTTTGCTCAGGGCAGAGTGTTGCGTTGAGAAATGAAGGGGTGAGACAACTTCAGAATTGCACAGGCCATCAGAGACGGCTGGGATCGAAGGTGATGCGGACAAGAAAGCAAGAAGGCATAGGCGGAATGCGCGTTGAGAGGAGGGACAGAATAGACACCACTGTTGCAACGATTCAGAACGAGGCAGCATGGAGATGGGCACAACAAAGCAGGGTGCGATAAGAGGCAGAGTGGAATGAGAGGCCGTGTGCATGAGTTTCAGGGCGTTCACAAACATTGCAGGCTCAGAGTGTGTGACTTGCAGGCTCAGAGTGTGCGACTTGCATGCTCAGAGTGTGCGACTTGCATGCTCAGAGTGTGCGACTAGCATGCTCAGAGTGTGCGACTTGCATGCTCAGAGTGTGCGACTTGCATGCTCAAAGTGTGCGACTTGCAGGCTCAGAGTGTGCGACTTGCAGGCTCAGAGTGTGCGACTTGCATGCTCAGAGTGTGCGACTTGCATGCTCAGAGTGTGCGACTTGCATGCTCAGAGTGTGTGACTTGCATGCTCAGAGTGTGCGACTTGCAGGCTCAGAGTGTGCGACTTGCATGCTCAGAGTGTGCGACTTGCATGCTCAGAGTGTGCGACTTGCATGCTCAGAGTGTGCGACTTGCATGCTCAGAGTGTGCGACTTGCATGCTCACCTTTGGCATAGCGTCTGATGGCTTGCCGCACCGCAAGGTCTCTAGTGGGGGGGCGACGAGCAGACGGGGAGGGCCGACAGGGCAGGAAGTAAAGCAGACAGCGGGTGGAGGGAATGGGGAGAGGAGCGGAGAACGAGGACCGTAGTGAGGACGAGAGGGAAGATAGAGGATGAAGGATGAGCCAGCGTGAAGCATTCGAGACGACGTGGCACAACGCAACTGGCATGACAAAGTGAGGAGAAATGAGGCGGGAAGGCAGGTGAGCAGCCAACAATAAGGACGACGGGAAGGTCAAAAGAAGAAACAAAATATGTATGTGTAAGTTTGTGTGTGTGTGTGTGTGTGTGTGTGTGTTTGTGTGTGTGTGTTTGTGTGTTTGTGTGTGTGTTTGTGTGTGTGTGTGTTTGTGTGTGTATGTGTGTGTGTGCGCGCGCGCGCGTATATAAATATGTATGTATATATCACGTGTCCACGTACAGTTTCTTGCCGTGCAAGTCACTCAACCGAGCTCCCAAGTGCACATGCCCCATGAGCATGTGCGCCCTGCCGTGGCTGTCCTGAGGCAGGGAGGGAATGAGACGCTCCTGTAGAGAGACAGCAGTTGGTGAGAGGACTGCAGAGGGGTGGGGGGGAGTGGGGGGAGTGGGGGGGAGTGGGGGGGAATGGAGGGGAGTGGGAAGAAGGGGGGGAGTGGGGGGGAGTGGGACTTTCCAGACACAGTGTTCAAGACTAGAGCACAATGCAATAAGAACCCCCATAGATAGATACCCAGCACTGCCTACACCATCGCTCACCCCTCAACCATGAAAAACTCTACACTCCACAGCTTCCTTATCCCCAACCCATGCACCCCCCTCTATACCCCCCACCTTGCATATGCTAGCCTCTGCACCCCTCTATATCCCCCACCTTGCATTTGCTTGCCTCTGCACCCCTCTGTACCCCCCACCTTGTCTCTGATCGCCTCTGGCACAACTCTATAACCCCAAAATTGTCTCGGATCGCTCCTCCACCCCTCTACATCTCACACCTTGCCTCTGCGCGCCCCTGCACCACTCTGTACCCCCCACCTCGCTTCTGATCGCCTCGGTACGCCAGCAGCAGCAGCGCAGCCCTCTCTCGATTGAGGCTCGTGAGGCACAGGCTCTTCACAGCGCGGTAATTGGCTGCTCTGTTGGAAAGGGGTGGGGGCCGGGAGGAGTGTGGCGGGGTTGAGGCACAGAGGGGAGAAGCGAGTGGTGTTGTTGTGTGTGTCAGGTGCAGGCTCTTCACCGTGCGGTACTTGGCTGCTCTGTTGGAAAAGGGGGGAAGTGGGAGTGTATTTGAGAGGGGGAAGTGGGGAGAAGGCAGGACAGTATTGTCTGTGTGTGTGAGGCACAGGCTCTTCACAGCGCGATATTTGGCTGCTTTGTTCAAAGCGGGGGGGTGTGGAGGTTGCGGGGAGGTTTTTTGGAGTTTGTGAAGGGGTTGTGGTGGAGGGGGGAAATGCGGGCAGCATTGTTGTGTGTGTTGTGAGGCACAGGCTCTTCACAGCGCGGTAGTTGGCTGCTCTCTTCAAAGTGGGGGGCCTAGTGAGAGATTTTGAGGGGTATGTAAGGGGGAAGGGGAATGCGTAAAAGCGGGCAGCATTTTCCAGTGTGAGCAAGGCACATGCTCTTCTCAGTAGGGTTGTTGGCTGCAGTGTTGGAAAAGGGAGGAGGGGGGGTTGTTGTGGGGGGGTTGTGGAAGGGGGAGGAGAAGCGGAGAGTATTGTTACATAAATGATTCACAGGCTCCTCATCAACGTTGTAGATTCACAGGCTCCTCATCAACGTTGGAGTCATGTTTGAGAATTCTAAAAAGCTACTCCAGCATTGTTGTGCAACACTGATTCACGTTGGAGGCTTTGTTGCATACAGTAACTGATTCACTTCACAGCACTGTTGCTGTATGCAATAATGCTCCTCATCCACGGCACAGGCATAGAACAAGTTGGCTGATCTGTTTGCAGCAAAGGGCAGAGGCGCGGAGGGAGGGGAGGAGGGTGGGGAAGAGGCGGGGGGGGATAACTCGCTGGGGGTATTGTCGGTCCTTGAGAGGCAACGACTGGCTGTGGCACAAGGGAAGGCGGTGACTTTTGAGTCGACTCAAAAGTCACTTTGGGAGAGGGGGGGAGGGGGGGGAGGGGGGGGGGATAACTCGCTGGGGGTATTGTCGGTCCTCGAGAGGCAACGACTGGCTGTGGCACAAGGGAAGGCGAAACGAGACTACGCCTGGGTGGGGCGAATGAGAATGAGAGCCGTGAGGTATGAGGGAGAATGTGGGGAACGAATAGTAAGCGAGTTTTGAGGCGCCCTAAAACTTGCCTGAGAATCCGAGCCGTGAGGGATGTGAGAGAATGTGGGAGAATAATAGTCAACGACGACACACACAGGAGGTGCAATGAGCAGTGAGCTACATGCACAACCAGAAAAGTATAGTTTCGACCCCAATCCAGCAGACAGCATGCACACAGCATGCCGAACCGCACTGTACCGTAGACATGGAAGGCAGTGAGGGAGAGGAAGACAGCCCACAGCAGCACCACGCTGCCAGCCACCAGTTGCCCCACCACCATCCCCGCCAGCATGGCAGGCAGCACGCACACAGCACGCCCACCAGCACGCACACAGCAAGGCACTCCCACACTGTACCATAGACGTGGAAGGCGGTGAGGGCGAGGAAGACGGTCCACAGAAGCACCACATTGCCTGCCACCAGCTGCCCCACCACCATCCCCGCCAGCATGCCCGCCATCGTTGCTGCCGTCTCCTGACTGCCCTCCTGCCAGCCAACGTGTGCAAGCAGAAGCAGTAAGGGAGGGGGGGAATGATAGGTTTGCACGTGTGCTGTGAAGATGACTCACAGCACCACCATCCCCGCCAGCATGCCCGCCATCGTTGCTGCCGTCTCCTGACTGCCCTCCTGCCAGCCAACGTGTGCAAGCAGAAGCAGTAAGGGAGGGGGGGAATGATAGGTTTGCACGTGTGCTGTGAAGATGACTCACAGCACCACCATCCCCGCCAGCATGCCCGCCATCGTTGCTGCCGTCTCCTGACTGCCCTCCTGCCAGCCAACGTGTGCAAGCAGAAGCAGTAAGGGAGGGGGGGAATGATAGGTTTGCACGTGTGCTGTGAAGATGACTCACAGCACCACCATCCCCGCCAGCATGCCCGCCATCGTTGCTGCCGTCTCCTGACTGCCCTCCTGCCAGCCAACGTGTGCAAGCAGAAGCAGTAAGGGAGGGGGGGAATGATAGGTTTGCACGTGTGCTGTGAAGATGACTCACAGCACCACCATCCCCGCCAGCATGCCCGCCATCGTTGCTGCCGTCTCCTGACTGCCCTCCTGCCAGCCAACGTGTGCAAGCAGAAGCAGTAAGGGAGGGGGGGAATGATAGGTTTGCACGTGTGCTGTGAAGATGACTCACAGCACCACCATCCCCGCCAGCATGCCCGCCATCTTTGCTGCCGTCTCCTGACTGCCCTCCTGCCAGCCAACGTGTGCAAGCAGAAGCAGTAAGGGAGGGGGGGAATGATAGGTTTGCACGTGTGCTGTGAAGATGACTCACAGCACCACCATCCCCGCCAGCATGCCCGCCATCGTTGCTGCCGTCTCCTGACTGCCCTCCTGCCAGCCAACGTGTGCAAGCAGAAGCAATAAGGGAGGGGGGGAATGATAGGTTTGCACGTGTGCTGTGAAGATGACTCACAGCACCACCATCCCCGCCAGCATGCCCGCCATCGTTGCTGCCGTCTCCTGACTGCCCTCCTGCCAGCCAACGTGTGCAAGCAGAAGCAGTAAGGGAGGGGGGGAATGATAGGTTTGCACGTGTGCTGTGAAGATGACTCACAGCACCACCATCCCCGCCAGCATGCCCGCCATCGTTGCTGCCGTCTCCTGACTGCCCTCCTGCCAGCCAACGTGTGCAAGCAGAAGCAGTAAGGGAGGGGGGGAATGATAGGTTTGCATGTGTGCTGTGAAGATGACTCACAGCACCACCATCCCCGCCAGCATGCCCGCCATCGTTGCTGCCGTCTCCTGACTGCCCTCCTGCCAGCCAACGTGTGCAAGCAGAAGCAGTAAGGGAGGGGGGGAATGATAGGTTTGCACGTGTGCTGTGAAGATGACTCACAGCACCACCATCCCCGCCAGCATGCCCACCATCGTTGCTGCCGTCTCCTGACTGCCCTCCTGCCAGCCAACGTGTGCAAGCAGAAGCAGTAAGGGAGGGGGGGAGTGATAGGTTTGCACGTGTGCTGTGAAGATGACTCACAGCACCACCATCCCCGCCAGCATGCCCGCCATCGTTGCTGCCGTCTCCTGACTGCCCTCCTGCCAGCCAACGTGTGCAAGCAGAAGCAGTAAGGGAGGGGGGGAATGATAGGTTTGCACGTGTGCTGTGAAGATGACTCACAGCACCACCATCCCCGCCAGCATGCCCGCCATCGTTGCTGCCGTCTCCTGACTGCCCTCCTGCCAGTGTGAATGGGTCCAGAATGGATGCAGGATACATGATGAGAGGGCAGGATACATATGGTATAACTATTCCCTCCTCCCTCCTCTCCTCCTTTTGCCGCACAGTTAAAGAAACGACTTTGCTCAGGGCACGTGACATGAGAGCGAAACGAATCAGCTGCATTAGCACTTTCCTACAAGGAGTGCCCACAAGGTACCTTAGCGGAGATGTCTGCCGCGTTTTGCCTTTTAGCAAAGTGCTGTGTAAGTGCCGCTCTGGTGGCCCCACTGGCAGTGCCGGCTGAAGGAATCAAGGGAGATAAAAAGAAAAGGGAGAGTAACTGAGGTTTGAAAAATGAGGAAGTGGGAGTGGGAGAGTAGGCGAGAGGGGGTCATGAAATTACCTCTAAGTGAGACCTAGTCAATCACACTAGATGGACGAAGCGGAAAACGGATGGCATATAAATGATAAGAAAAGGAGAACGCTTTCTTGCAGGTTGAGCAGAAAGGAAGGGCCAGTTGGAAGAGGGGGGGGGACGGGGTAAAATGCTGGCATCTTGAGGCACCTTAAGCCTCAATAAAGAGGTGCACTAGGCTCGGGAGATGCTGTTGTTTTCAGGCAATTATGAATTTTTATTGATAGACGTACTTATGGCTCGGGAGATGCCAGAGCAGCGGCAGGAAGGCGGAGGGCACAAGGGGCGAGAGCAGATCCAGAAGCATCCCTGCACACCCGTGGAGGACGATGGGGACAACGAATAGAATGAGGAAGGGTGGTAGAAAGGGGAGAAAGGTGGGGAGAGGGAAGAGGGGGGGGGGGGGGGGGGGGGAAACGTGGGGGTAGAAAGCTGGAGAAAGGAGGAAGTGAAATGCTGAGATGTGGAGGTCTGACAGGTTGGAGAGTGGAGGAGAGAGAAACCGGGGTAGAAGGAAGAACGCAAGGCAAAGACACGGAGCAGAGAAGCAGCAGCGCACCGACATCATTGATGACGTCAGCAGCCAGCCTCCACTGCTTGGCATTGCTGTCGAGATTCGATCCCTGCAGGCAGCGACAGAGAAGGTTCGGATTAGGGTTTCAGCGGTTACAGGTTTGCCAAGTCGGGTTTCTGGGGGGTTTGGGGTTAAAGATTTACAATAAGGGAGTCACAAGAAGGGTCAGGAAGGAACTAGTTTATTAGATAAAGGGCAAATGCACAAGCGTCGCTACTGGAAAGAAATGTAGTTGCAATTCGCAATTGGAAATAGCCGGGAGGTACAGAGAAAAGCTGCACAGAATGAGCATTCTGTACATGCTGAAGAGTGTATACAGTGAAGAAAGTGGTAAGAGTAATGATAATGATAATAACAATAGTAATAGTATATTTACTGTGCTATTACTGTACCTTGTACATGGCGAAAAGAATCCCTCCAAGCATGCCTGTGAAGTCACGCACGAACCACTGCAGAGAAGGACGGGGCAGGAGGTGCGAGACAGAGACGTGAAATCAGATTGATAGGAGAAGTACTGGAGGGAGGGCCGATCGAACAGCTATTCGTGATTTGACTGAAACTGCAGGGTGCAAGGAGCGGTTGAGGCGGTGCAAGGAGCGCTGAAAGCCTGACCTGGAACGTGGCACTGATGGCTGATGCAGATGCGCTGCCCACTCCCAGCCCTGCCAGCAGCACCTGGGAGGGACGCAGGGCAGGATAAGGGGGGTGTGTGAGACTGGGGAAGAGATGCAGAGAGGTCGAGAGGCGGAGAGGCAGAGAGGCGGAGAGGCGGAGAGGCGGAGAGGCGGAGAGGCGGAGAGGCGGAGAGGCGGAGAGGCGGAGAGGCGGAGAGGCGGAGAGGCGGAGAGGCGGAGAGGCGGAGAGGCGGAGAGGCGGAGAGGCGGAGAGGCGGAGAGGCGGAGAGGCGGAGAGGCGGAGAGGCGGAGAGGCGGAGAGGCGGAGAGGCGGAGAGGCGGAGAGGCGGAGAGGCGGAGAGGCGGAGAGGCAGAGAGGCAGAGAGGCGGAGAGGCGGAGAGGCGGAGAGGCGGAGAGGCAGAGAGGCGGAGAGGCGGAGAGGCGGAGAGGCGGAGAGGCGGAGAGGCGGAGAGGCGGAGAGGCGGAGAGGCAGAGAGGCGGAGAGGCAGAGAGGCGGAGAGGCGGAGAGGCGGAGAGGCGGAGAGGCGGAGAGGCGGAGAGGCAGAGAGGCAGAGAGGCAGAGAGGCAGAGAGGCGGAGAGGCGGAGAGGCGGAGAGGTGGAGAGGCAGAGAGGCGGAGAGGCGGAGAGGCGGAGAGGCGGAGAGGCGGAGAGGCGGAGAGGCGGAGAGGCGGAGAGGCAGAGAGGCGGAGAGGCAGAGAGGCGGAGAGGCGGAGAGGCGGAGAGGCGGAGAGGCGGAGAGGCGGAGAGGCAGGGAGGCAGGGAGGCGGATATATGCTGGATGTACCTGCGTGGATAGCATGCTGCGGATGTACGTCGACAGTCCCTGCAATGGAAGGGGGAGGAGGGGGCGGGGCGGGGCGGAGAAGGGGAGATGCGGAAGAGAGGAGATGGAATGATGAGAGAAGACAGGGTGATGGTGTGATGGTGGTAGGTGTGCAATGATCACTGATGGCATGCACTAAAGAAAAGAGATTCCATGAGCAAGGATAATGGATGAGGACGGAATGGGAAGAGGCGACCATGTGGGCCATGGCGACCACGTGGGTCATGGCGACCACGTGGGTCATGACGTCTCACAATTCTTGAGGCGTGTTACAATCACCTGGAGGGTATCCCACGTTTGAAACGCCAGATAGTCGTCTGTAACACTCTCAGGGTAACCCTGCAACAGCGAACAAAACAGGAAAAGGAAGGAGAAAGTAGAAATGCACACGGGCACCTTCGGTTCAGCGCACTAAAGAAGAACCTTTGCCCCACCACGGGCGTCATGTGTGCGTCTGACCACGCACTGTGTGCGTCTGACCACGCACATGTGGCCTGAGAGATGGCCTGACTGACACGTGACCTGATACGTGTAGCTACATGGCGTGCATCTGGCTTAGAACGACTGGTGAGACAAAAGAACAAGGCTGTGTGGGTAGAGGCTCTTCCCTGGAAAAGAAATCGCTTTTCCTGCACCTCTTTTTCCTTCCTGGCAGCATCGACCCCCTTCCCTTCTCCTCCCCTCTCCGCGCACCTCTGACAGGAACGCGCCGCGCAGTGTGCGCGTGAGCGAGCCGAGCGAGCCACTACCACGCGCGGACCTGGGGAAACGGCGGAGCGCGGAAGTTAGGCGCGGGGAATGGCGGAGCACGGAGGTTAGGCGGAACAGGCGCAAGTGACCTTTGAGTTAACTCAGAGTTCCGAATCTAAGGTGAGGGGGAACGGCAGGGCCGAAAAGGAGCAAGTGAGACCACAGACAGGGCAGTCTAGACCGCTTGGCGTCGGCGAAAGCCACATTCGACAAGCAGTCTGATCGCACCCGACGTGAGAGAGCAGCGAGACGCGCTACGAACGTACACTGAGTTGACTTCGAGTCGACTCAAAAGCCACCTCAGTCGACAAGCAGTCTGATCGCATCCGACGTAAAGGAGCCGCGAGACGCGCTACGAACATACACTCACGCGAAACGAGCAGCGATACGCCATAATAAGGCGATTCTACGCGAACGGGGGGGTCGAGGCGTACTTGAGAACGCGAATGGACGATGGCGCGTCCATGAGACCAGCGAGCGCCGCAGGCACCCTGCTGGTACTGCTGCCATCCCCGCCGCCGCCGCCGCCGCTGCCGCTGGTGTTGGTCTCCTCGACCCAAACAGCTGTACGCGACGCTTTCGGACCGCGACCGAAGACCTCCTCTATAAGCACATCTCCGGTTAGCGAACCGTCACGTTTCGTGCTGTTCGCCATCACGTCGGCGAAAATCTCGTTGCTTGAAAAATGGTCACCTTGAACGGACGATGGATCTATTTCAAATTTCAGGCATTGAGGTACTTTTGAATGGGGCTTGAATAGGGTTACCCGCATTGTATCAATCGCCCATTCGTCAAATTCTAAGTCACTACTTGGTGCCTGATTTGGACTCTCGCAATTTCGGACTGTGAGCCAGAAGCATTTCGTCAAGCCAGAAAGAGGCCGATTCATTTGCGGTAACTCTTCGTCCCGCAACGTGCTTGGGGAGGCGAGACCCAAACGACCCAGTCCCCAATTCGTGAGGCCCATATTTTGTCGCATGAATTGTTACTCCTGTGGCTCTCCAACCTCCAACGCTTCGTTCCTTCACCCCTCAACAACCACCCACAAGCAACCATGAGTGAGAGCGGTACAGTTTCGCTTAGAAGCAAACCCAAATCTTGTCAATCGCGAGCGCACCGAGTTTTGGCCCAGAAACTTACCAGAGGGCAGACCCGTTATCCCAGTCAACTGCGATTAATCCGCTGATTAGCGCGAAATGCGATGGCCGAATGCGAGCCGTAGTATGAATGTGCGACTTTGAGCACCGCCATGGCCCGAGTCTTAGCATGAATGCACGAGCCACGTCCCAACGTTACTAAATCCATACATCTACGAATAACGTATCCATGAATGCATGACTGCATGGATGCATGAACGCGCTGGACTGGCCGGGGCGTCATGATGGCGAGAATCTGTTTTTGAGTCGATTCAAAAACAAGCGCGCTGGACTGACGGGGGCGCCATGATGGCGAGAAGGTCCTCGTCGCGGGGAGGGCAAGCCGGCGCCTTCCCCGCGGCCCTGTCCGCGGAGCATCGCGGGAGCTTCCGCGCGGACGACGCCGAGCGCAAGGCGCACCACCCCTCCCTCCACAAGATCCCCCGCGGCGCGCGCGTCGTTCTTTTAGCCGGCACCGTTGTAATCACGCTCCTTGGTTTTGCCGCGTTTGCGCTCTCAGGGTCTTTCCGCCAAGCCCTGCTGAGTCAGCTCCGCCCATCCTCCGCCAACCCTTCCGCGGACCTCGCGCTCGACGTCGATTCCGGAGCTATTGCCCGCGGGGATGCGCAGATGGCGGAGGAGGGAAACGGGGAGGTCCTCGCAGCGGAAGGGGAAGGTGATAGCCCAGCGGAAGGAGAGGGCGGAGCGGAAGGGGGAGGCGGGACAGAAGGGGAGCAACAAGCGGAAGCGGCGCAAGATGGGGAAGAGGGGACGCGCAGGAATGAGGGCAGGCGGAGGAAGAACAGGGGCAAGCGGAGGAGGAGGCGGAGGGCGGTTCGGGGCGATCGCGACAAGTGGGTTACCGAGTTACGGAAGAAGCCGTCGTGGCGAATCGTCAGTGGCTTCCAGGTGGGTGCTGCTTGCTCGATGTTGGAAGCGCTTTTGGACCTCCAATCTGCTCACCTCTGCTCACCTCTGCTCACCTCTGCTCACCTCTGCTCACCTCTGCTCACCTCTGCTCACCTCTGCTCACCTCTGCTCACCTGCTCACCTCTGCTCACCTCTGCTCACCTCTGCTCACCTCTGCTGAACAATCACCTGGGTTGACGGGTGTGTTAAATCGATGGGCTAGCAAGAGAACCCACGATCACGACTCAGACTCATACCCACACTCCCCTCATGTGCTCATTTGTGTTACATTCTGAGTCTTCTCAACGTCCACTCTCTGGCCCTCCAATTCCTGATCATCCAATCCCTCGTCGTCCAATCCCTAGTTGTCCAATCCCTGGTCGTCCAATCCGTATTCCCCCGACCTCTGGTATTTTTCTTGAGGCGTCTAAGAATTAGCTGGTGCGACTGGCTTGCTCCTGCCCCCTACCCACCTACCTACCAGGGCGTGCCAGCAACTCATCTCGTTGCGGGTTCAAACTCCCTCGCCTGTGCCCTCGTGGTCAGATCCCTAGCTGTGCAATCCCTAATCTTCCCATCTTTGGTCTCATTTTAACATGCTCACCCCTGCCCCCTACCTACCCACCATGGCGTGCCAGCAACTCACCTCATCGCCGACTCAAACTCCCTCGCCTGTGCTCTCGTGGTCCGCCGCGCCTGCCACTTCTGGTCGCCCATCGGCCTCCCCAACCCCTCTTCTTCCTCCACTGCTACTGCTGCTGGCACTGATGCTGCTGATGGTGGTGCCGGAAGTGACAGTGGGGGCAGAGTCACCACGACGACCCACGGGCACTACAGTGGGTACTGGTACAGCATGGACGGCAGGGATTTGTCTCTTCTGCGCTCCAGTGAGGACGTGTGCGGCCATGGCACCAGACAACTGCCCAGGCCCTTTTCGCCCAAGAGATTCGGCACCACAGACAAGTACGTGTGTTTTAGCCAAGTCTGGCAGTTTGCTGCTGTGATGATCCCAAAATGCTTATCAAAAGCTGCACAGGTGGGCAGCAGGTGGGCGGCAAGTGGGCGGTAGGTGGGCGGCAAGTGGGCGGCAGGTGGGCGGCGGAGGAAAGGTCGAATATGCTCTAGGGCTATACATCAATCACTTTGAGACGTCTCAAAATTCGTCTCCTTGCACTTGCACACGTACCACAACTTCCTTTGCATCTGGTCGTTTGCAGTTACTATGCAAACCCGCTGCATGTGCATAAGCTAATCTGTTTCTCATATTGCATCGCATCACATGGCATGGCATGGGATAGCATAGCGTGGCATGGCATGGCATGGCATGGCATGACGGCAGGGTCCAGGAGAAGATGGGCATATTCCTTTCAACAGAGCAGCGAGATCAAATACTGCAGCAGCAGTGCAAGCTGGGACACAAGGTGATGCTTTTACCTCAAATAAGGAAATATATATATATAATGTATATGTATTTGTGTGTGCGTATATATATGTATATATATATATATATGTATGCTGTCGAAACAGCCCAGGCTGGGAGACAAGGTGATGGCCCTCCGTCCCCCATTTTGCCATTCCTCTTTCTCCCACCTTCTCCATTTCCCCATTCACCAGAGTGGGCAGATGTGACCTTCCCCGGGTGGCAGCTTCCCAGGCAGGTACCATCGACCCCTTCCTGGTGCTTTCACATCCGGCATCATCTGGCCCCCTCCCACTCACGCACTATCCCTCCCTCCCTCCCTCCCTCCCCATCCCCCCAGCCACCGGAGTGGGTAGATGTGACCTCCCCCGGGAGGCAACTACCCAGGTACCGCCGGGCAGTGATGTCGCCACACGACTCGTTCCTGGGCCACTTCTGGGAGCGCGTGGGCGTGCTGGCGGAGCTGCTGCTCGCCCTCCACTCCTCCCTCTCCCTCCCCCCGCCCTCCCCTCCGCCCTCCCCCAATTCCCCGCCTCCCCCTCATGCTTCTCGCTTGACTGGTGATGGTCTAGGGGGTGGGGTGGGGGAGGAGGGAGGGGAGGGGGTGGATGGGGAAGAGAGTAGTGGGGGTGGTGGTGGTGGTGGTGGGGAGAGTGGGGCTGCAAGAGGAGGGGAGGGAGAGGAGGAGGGGGGAGTGGGGGAAGGTGCAGAGGAGAGGGATGGTGTTGCTGTGTCCATCACTGCTTCTTCAACTGCTGCTGATGCTGATGGTGCTACGGATGCTGCTGCTGCTGGTGCTGCTGATGCTGGTGCTGATGCTGGTGCTGATGCTGGTGCAGATGGTGGTGCGTTCACGCCAGTGGTGCTGACTCCCTCGCCCCTCACGCACACTGCAGTGATGTTTGGCACCGACATTGATGGTACGGCATAGGGCCTTCTTGGTGGCATGGGGTGTCGTGGCATGGGGTGACGTGGCATGGGGTGACGTGGCATGAGATTGCATGGCATGGGACCATATGGCCTGCAGCCCTCGCATTTACAAATGTTACTGCATGGGCCAGACAAATACATCCATACCTATTCTCTCTCTGTCCTCCTTTTCGATTGCACCCCCCCTCTCGCCCCTCCCTGTGTCCCACCCACCATCCTCTTCTCCTCAAACTGAATTCGGCACGTTCACATGCGATCCAAGCTTCTCTCTTTGACCTCGCTACTCGTCCTTTGTCCTTTCATCACCAAAACTAATTTTCTCTGTTTTCCTCCCCATGCCCCCCCGCCCCTCCCATCCCCCACCGTCCTCTCCGCGTGTAAAGTGAAGTCGGCACGTTCGCCGGCAATTTAAGCCGCATTCTCTTTGGCGCCGCCACGCCTCTGATTCCCGGCCGCCGCCTGCACTGGGGGGACGAGCCCCACCTGTGCTTTGGAGAGGTCGTATTCCCTCTGCACACCGCCTATTCCATGTGAGCCACACAAAAGACAACACTGCACTTGTAACACATGCAGCAGAACAGGAGGTATACTCTGTGTAAGCCTGTCATCCTGAGTAGACCTCCTGTTCTGCTGCACCGCGAACTCCATCTATCTATAGCTCCGGGCCTGCCTGCACCGGGGGGACGAGCCCCACCTGTGCTTCGGAGAGGTCAACTTCCCACTTCACACCGCCTATTCCATGAGAGCTTGCTGCACACATGCTGCTTGCTGCACACATGCTGCTTGCTGCACACATGCTGCTTGCTGCACACATGCTGCTTGCTGCACACATGCTGCTTGCTGCACACATGCTGCTTGCTGCACACATGCTGCTTGCTGCACACATGCTGCTTGCTGCACACATGCTGCTTGCTGCACACATGCTGCTTGCTGCACACATGCTGCTTGCTGCACACATGCTGCTTGCTGCACACATGCTGCTTGCTGCACACATGCTGCTTGCTGCACACATGCTGCTTGCTGCACACATGCTGCTTGCTGCACACATGCTGCTTGCTGCACACATGCTGCTTGCTGCACACAATGCTGCTTGCTGCACACATGCTGCCTTGCTGCACACATGCTGCTTGCTGCACACATGCTGCTTGCTGCACACATGCTGCTTGCTGCACACATGCTGCTTGCTGCACACATGCTGCTTGCTGCACACATGCTGCTTGCTGCACACATGCTGCTTGCTGCACACATGCTGCTTGCTGCACACATGCTGCTTGCTGCACACATGCTGCTTGCTGCACACATGCTGCTTGCTGCACACATGCTGCTTGCTGCACACATGCTGCTTGCTGCACACATGCTGCTTGCTGCACACATGCTGCTTGCTGCACACATGCTGCTTGCTGCACACATGCTGCTTGCTGCACACATGCTGCTTGCTGCACACATGCTGCTTGCTGCACACATGCTGCTTGCTGCACACATGCTGCTTGCTGCACACATGCTGCTTGCTGCACACATGCTGCTTGCTGCACACATGCTGCTTGCTGCACACATGCTGCTTGCTGCACACATGCTGCTTGCTGCACACATGCTGCTTGCTGCACACATGCTGCTTGCTGCACACATGCTGCTTGCTGCACACATGCTGCTTGCTGCACACATGCTGCTTGCTGCACACATGCTGCTTGCTGCACACATGCTGCTTGCTGCACCACATGCTGCTTGCTGCACACATGCTGCTTGCTGCACACATGCTGCTTGCTGCACACATGCTGCTTGCTGCACACATGCTGCTTGCTGCACACATGCTGCTTGCTGCACACATGCTGCTTGCTGCACACATGCTGCTTGCTGCACACATGCTGCTTGCTGCACACATGCTGCTTGCTGCACACATGCTGCTTGCTGCACACATGCTGCTTGCTGCACACATGCTGCTTGCTGCACACATGCTGCTTGCTGCACACATGCTGCTTGCTGCACACATGCTGCTTGCTGCACACATGCTGCTTGCTGCACACATGCTGCTTGCTGCACACATGCTGCTTGCTGCACACATGCTGCTTGCTGCACACATGCTGCTTGCTGCACACATGCTGCTTGCTGCACACATGCTGCTTGCTGCACACATGCTGCTTGCTGCACACATGCTGCTTGCTGCACACATGCTGCTTGCTGCACACATGCTGCTTGCTGCACACATGCTGCTTGCTGCACACATGCTGCTTGCTGCACACATGCTGCTTGCTGCACACATGCTGCTTGCTGCACACATGCTGCTTGCTGCACACATGCTGCTTGCTGCACACATGCTGCTTGCTGCACACATGCTGCTTGCTGCACACATGCTGCTTGCTGCACACATGCTGCTTGCTGCACACATGCTGCTTGCTGCACACATGCTGCTTGCTGCACACATGCTGCTTGCTGCACACATGCTGCTTGCTGCACACATGCTGCTTGCTGCACACATGCTGCTTGCTGCACACATGCTGCTTGCTGCACACATGCTGCTTGCTGCACACATGCTGCTTGCTGCACACATGCTGCTTGCTGCACACATGCTGCTTGCTGCACACATGCTGCTTGCTGCACACATGCTGCTTGCTGCACACATGCTGCTTGCTGCACACATGCTGCTTGCTGCACACATGCTGCTTGCTGCACACATGCTGCTTGCTGCACACATGCTGCTTGCTGCACACATGCTGCTTGCTGCACACATGCTGCTTGCTGCACACATGCTGCTTGCTGCACACATGCTGCTTGCTGCACACATGCTGCTTGCTGCACACATGCTGCTTGCTGCACACATGCTGCTTGCTGCACACATGCTGCTTGCTGCACACATGCTGCTTGCTGCACACATGCTGCTTGCTGCACACATGCTGCTTGCTGCACACATGCTGCTTGCTGCACACATGCTGCTTGCTGCACACATGCTGCTTGCTGCACACATGCTGCTTGCTGCACACATGCTGCTTGCTGCACACATGCTGCTTGCTGCACACATGCTGCTTGCTGCACACATGCTGCTTGCTGCACACATGCTGCTTGCTGCACACATGCTGCTTGCTGCACACATGCTGCTTGCTGCACACATGCTGCTTGCTGCACACATGCTGCTTGCTGCACACATGCTGCTTGCTGCACACATGCTGCTTGCTGCACACATGCTGCTTGCTGCACACATGCTGCTTGCTGCACACATGCTGCTTGCTGCACACATGCTGCTTGCTGCACACATGCTGCTTGCTGCACACATGCTGCTTGCTGCACACATGCTGCTTGCTGCACACATGCTGCTTGCTGCACACATGCTGCTTGCTGCACACATGCTGCTTGCTGCACACATGCTGCTTGCTGCACACATGCTGCTTGCTGCACACATGCTGCTTGCTGCACACATGCTGCTTGCTGCACACATGCTGCTTGCTGCACACATGCTGCTTGCTGCACACATGCTGCTTGCTGCACACATGCTGCTTGCTGCACACATGCTGCTTGCTGCACACATGCTGCTTGCTGCACACATGCTGCTTGCTGCACACATGCTGCTTGCTGCACACATGCTGCTTGCTGCACACATGCTGCTTGCTGCACACATGCTGCTTGCTGCACACATGCTGCTTGCTGCACACATGCTGCTTGCTGCACACATGCTGCTTGCTGCACACATGCTGCTTGCTGCACACATGCTGCTTGCTGCACACATGCTGCTTGCTGCACACATGCTGCTTGCTGCACACATGCTGCTTGCTGCACACATGCTGCTTGCTGCACACATGCTGCTTGCTGCACACATGCTGCTTGCTGCACACATGCTGCTTGCTGCACACATGCTGCTTGCTGCACACATGCTGCTTGCTGCACACATGCTGCTTGCTGCACACATGCTGCTTGCTGCACACATGCTGCTTGCTGCACACATGCTGCTTGCTGCACACATGCTGCTTGCTGCACACATGCTGCTTGCTGCACACATGCTGCTTGCTGCACACATGCTGCTTGCTGCACACATGCTGCTTGCTGCACACATGCTGCTTGCTGCACACATGCTGCTTGCTGCACACATGCTGCTTGCTGCACACATGCTGCTTGCTGCACACATGCTGCTTGCTGCACACATGCTGCTTGCTGCACACATGCTGCTTGCTGCACACATGCTGCTTGCTGCACACATGCTGCTTGCTGCACACATGCTGCTTGCTGCACACATGCTGCTTGCTGCACACATGCTGCTTGCTGCACACATGCTGCTTGCTGCACACATGCTGCTTGCTGCACACATGCTGCTTGCTGCACACATGCTGCTTGCTGCACACATGCTGCTTGCTGCACACATGCTGCTTGCTGCACACATGCTGCTTGCTGCACACATGCTGCTTGCTGCACACATGCTGCTTGCTGCACACATGCTGCTTGCTGCACACATGCTGCTTGCTGCACACATGCTGCTTGCTGCACACATGCTGCTTGCTGCACACATGCTGCTTGCTGCACACATGCTGCTTGCTGCACACATGCTGCTTGCTGCACACATGCTGCTTGCTGCACACATGCTGCTTGCTGCACACATGCTGCTTGCTGCACACATGCTGCTTGCTGCACACATGCTGCTTGCTGCACACATGCTGCTTGCTGCACACATGCTGCTTGCTGCACACATGCTGCTTGCTGCACACATGCTGCTTGCTGCACACATGCTGCTTGCTGCACACATGCTGCTTGCTGCACACATGCTGCTTGCTGCACACATGCTGCTTGCTGCACACATGCTGCTTGCTGCACACATGCTGCTTGCTGCACACATGCTGCTTGCTGCACACATGCTGCTTGCTGCACACATGCTGCTTGCTGCACACATGCTGCTTGCTGCACACATGCTGCTTGCTGCACACATGCTGCTTGCTGCACACATGCTGCTTGCTGCACACATGCTGCTTGCTGCACACATGCTGCTTGCTGCACACATGCTGCTTGCTGCACACATGCTGCTTGCTGCACACATGCTGCTTGCTGCACACATGCTGCTTGCTGCACACATGCTGCTTGCTGCACACATGCTGCTTGCTGCACACATGCTGCTTGCTGCACACATGCTGCTTGCTGCACACATGCTGCTTGCTGCACACATGCTGCTTGCTGCACACATGCTGCTTGCTGCACACATGCTGCTTGCTGCACACATGCTGCTTGCTGCACACATGCTGCTTGCTGCACACATGCTGCTTGCTGCACACATGCTGCTTGCTGCACACATGCTGCTTGCTGCACACATGCTGCTTGCTGCACACATGCTGCTTGCTGCACACATGCTGCTTGCTGCACACATGCTGCTTGCTGCACACATGCTGCTTGCTGCACACATGCTGCTTGCTGCACACATGCTGCTTGCTGCACACATGCTGCTTGCTGCACACATGCTGCTTGCTGCACACATGCTGCTTGCTGCACACATGCTGCTTGCTGCACACATGCTGCTTGCTGCACACATGCTGCTTGCTGCACACATGCTGCTTGCTGCACACATGCTGCTTGCTGCACACATGCTGCTTGCTGCACACATGCTGCTTGCTGCACACATGCTGCTTGCTGCACACATGCTGCTTGCTGCACACATGCTGCTTGCTGCACACATGCTGCTTGCTGCACACATGCTGCTTGCTGCACACATGCTGCTTGCTGCACACATGCTGCTTGCTGCACACATGCTGCTTGCTGCACACATGCTGCTTGCTGCACACATGCTGCTTGCTGCACACATGCTGCTTGCTGCACACATGCTGCTTGCTGCACACATGCTGCTTGCTGCACACATGCTGCTTGCTGCACACATGCTGCTTGCTGCACACATGCTGCTTGCTGCACACATGCTGCTTGCTGCACACATGCTGCTTGCTGCACACATGCTGCTTGCTGCACACATGCTGCTTGCTGCACACATGCTGCTTGCTGCACACATGCTGCTTGCTGCACACATGCTGCTTGCTGCACACATGCTGCTTGCTGCACACATGCTGCTTGCTGCACACATGCTGCTTGCTGCACACATGCTGCTTGCTGCACACATGCTGCTTGCTGCACACATGCTGCTTGCTGCACACATGCTGCTTGCTGCACACATGCTGCTTGCTGCACACATGCTGCTTGCTGCACACATGCTGCTTGCTGCACACATGCTGCTTGCTGCACACATGCTGCTTGCTGCACACATGCTGCTTGCTGCACACATGCTGCTTGCTGCACACATGCTGCTTGCTGCACACATGCTGCTTGCTGCACACATGCTGCTTGCTGCACACATGCTGCTTGCTGCACACATGCTGCTTGCTGCACACATGCTGCTTGCTGCACACATGCTGCTTGCTGCACACATGCTGCTTGCTGCACACATGCTGCTTGCTGCACACATGCTGCTTGCTGCACACATGCTGCTTGCTGCACACATGCTGCTTGCTGCACACATGCTGCTTGCTGCACACATGCTGCTTGCTGCACACATGCTGCTTGCCTGGCACACATGCTGCTTGCTGCACACATGCTGCTTGCTGCACACATGCTGCTTGCTGCACACATGCTGCTTGCTGCACACATGCTGCTTGCTGCACACATGCTGCTTGCTGCACACATGCTGCTTGCTGCACACATGCTGCTTGCTGCACACATGCTGCTTGCTGCACACATGCTGCTTGCTGCACACATGCTGCTTGCTGCACACATGCTGCTTGCTGCACACATGCTGCTTGCTGCACACATGCTGCTTGCTGCACACATGCTGCTTGCTGCACACATGCTGCTTGCTGCACACATGCTGCTTGCTGCACACATGCTGCTTGCTGCACACATGCTGCTTGCTGCACACATGCTGCTTGCTGCACACATGCTGCTTGCTGCACACATGCTGCTTGCTGCACACATGCTGCTTGCTGCACACATGCTGCTTGCTGCACACATGCTGCTTGCTGCACACATGCTGCTTGCTGCACACATGCTGCTTGCTGCACACATGCTGCTTGCTGCACACATGCTGCTTGCTGCACACATGCTGCTTGCTGCACACATGCTGCTTGCTGCACACATGCTGCTTGCTGCACACATGCTGCTTGCTGCACACATGCTGCTTGCTGCACACATGCTGCTTGCTGCACACATGCTGCTTGCTGCACACATGCTGCTTGCTGCACACATGCTGCTTGCTGCACACATGCTGCTTGCTGCACACATGCTGCTTGCTGCACACATGCTGCTTGCTGCACACATGCTGCTTGCTGCACACATGCTGCTTGCTGCACACATGCTGCTTGCTGCACACATGCTGCTTGCTGCACACATGCTGCTTGCTGCACACATGCTGCTTGCTGCACACATGCTGCTTGCTGCACACATGCTGCTTGCTGCACACATGCTGCTTGCTGCACACATGCTGCTTGCTGCACACATGCTGCTTGCTGCACACATGCTGCTTGCTGCACACATGCTGCTTGCTGCACACATGCTGCTTGCTGCACACATGCTGCTTGCTGCACACATGCTGCTTGCTGCACACATGCTGCTTGCTGCACACATGCTGCTTGCTGCACACATGCTGCTTGCTGCACACATGCTGCTTGCTGCACACATGCTGCTTGCTGCACACATGCTGCTTGCTGCACACATGCTGCTTGCTGCACACATGCTGCTTGCTGCACACATGCTGCTTGCTGCACACATGCTGCTTGCTGCACACATGCTGCTTGCTGCACACATGCTGCTTGCTGCACACATGCTGCTTGCTGCACACATGCTGCTTGCTGCACACATGCTGCTTGCTGCACACATGCTGCTTGCTGCACACATGCTGCTTGCTGCACACATGCTGCTTGCTGCACACATGCTGCTTGCTGCACACATGCTGCTTGCTGCACACATGCTGCTTGCTGCACACATGCTGCTTGCTGCACACATGCTGCTTGCTGCACACATGCTGCTTGCTGCACACATGCTGCTTGCTGCACACATGCTGCTTGCTGCACACATGCTGCTTGCTGCACACATGCTGCTTGCTGCACACATGCTGCTTGCTGCACACATGCTGCTTGCTGCACACATGCTGCTTGCTGCACACATGCTGCTTGCTGCACACATGCTGCTTGCTGCACACATGCTGCTTGCTGCACACATGCTGCTTGCTGCACACATGCTGCTTGCTGCACACATGCTGCTTGCTGCACACATGCTGCTTGCTGCACACATGCTGCTTGCTGCACACATGCTGCTTGCTGCACACATGCTGCTTGCTGCACACATGCTGCTTGCTGCACACATGCTGCTTGCTGCACACATGCTGCTTGCTGCACACATGCTGCTTGCTGCACACATGCTGCTTGCTGCACACATGCTGCTTGCTGCACACATGCTGCTTGCTGCACACATGCTGCTTGCTGCACACATGCTGCTTGCTGCACACATGCTGCTTGCTGCACACATGCTGCTTGCTGCACACATGCTGCTTGCTGCACACATGCTGCTTGCTGCACACATGCTGCTTGCTGCACACATGCTGCTTGCTGCACACATGCTGCTTGCTGCACACATGCTGCTTGCTGCACACATGCTGCTTGCTGCACACATGCTGCTTGCTGCACACATGCTGCTTGCTGCACACATGCTGCTTGCTGCACACATGCTGCTTGCTGCACACATGCTGCTTGCTGCACACATGCTGCTTGCTGCACACATGCTGCTTGCTGCACACATGCTGCTTGCTGCACACATGCTGCTTGCTGCACACATGCTGCTTGCTGCACACATGCTGCTTGCTGCACACATGCTGCTTGCTGCACACATGCTGCTTGCTGCACACATGCTGCTTGCTGCACACATGCTGCTTGCTGCACACATGCTGCTTGCTGCACACATGCTGCTTGCTGCACACATGCTGCTTGCTGCACACATGCTGCTTGCTGCACACATGCTGCTTGCTGCACACATGCTGCTTGCTGCACACATGCTGCTTGCTGCACACATGCTGCTTGCTGCACACATGCTGCTTGCTGCACACATGCTGCTTGCTGCACACATGCTGCTTGCTGCACACATGCTGCTTGCTGCACACATGCTGCTTGCTGCACACATGCTGCTTGCTGCACACATGCTGCTTGCTGCACACATGCTGCTTGCTGCACACATGCTGCTTGCTGCACACATGCTGCTTGCTGCACACATGCTGCTTGCTGCACACATGCTGCTTGCTGCACACATGCTGCTTGCTGCACACATGCTGCTTGCTGCACACATGCTGCTTGCTGCACACATGCTGCTTGCTGCACACATGTTTCATGCTGCACACATGTTTCATGCTGCACACATGTTTCATGCTGCACACATGTTTCATGCTGCACACATGTTTCATGCTGCACACATGTTTCATGCTGCACACATGTTTCATGCTGCACACATGTTTCATGCTGCACACATGTTTCATGCTGCACACATGTTTCATGCTGCACACATGTTGCATGCTGCACACATGTTGCATGCTGCACACATGTTGCATGCTGCACAAATGTTGCATGCTGCACACATGTTTCATGCTGCACACATGTTTCATGCTGCACACATGTTGCATGCTGCACACATGTTGCATGCTGCACACATGTTGCATGCTGCACACATGTTTCATGCTGCACACATGTTGCATGCTGCACACATGCTGCTTGCTGCACACATGTTTCATGCTGCACACATGTTGCATGCTGCACACATGTTGCATGCTCTGGGCGGAAAGCTTATGCCTGGGCGGACGCCCGACTCACTGCTGCCGTCACTGGCACCAGTGCTGATGATACTGCTGATGCTGCTGGTGCGGATGGTGCTGCTGCCGTTGTTGTTGCTGCCACTGATGCTGGTTCTGACGTGCTCCCTCTCTTCCCTTCCCTCTCACAGGAACGCCACAGAGTATGTGAGGAGGAAAGCTTATGCCTGGGCGGACGCCCGACTCACTGCTGCCGTCACTGGCACCAGTGCTGATGATACTACTGATGCTGCTGGTGCGGATGGTGCTGCTGCCGTTGTTGGTGCTGCCACTGATGCTGGTTCTGACATGCTCCTTCTCTTCCCTTCCCTCTCACAGGAACGCCACAGAGTATGTGAGGAGGAAAGCTTATGCCTGGGCGGACGCCCGACTCACTGCTGCCGTCACTGGCACCAGTGCTGATGATACTGCTGATGCTGCTGGTGCGGATGGTGCTGCTGCCGTTGTTGGTGCTGCCACTGATGCTGGTTCTGACGTGCTCCCTCTCTTCCCTTCCCTCTCACAGGAACGCCACAGAGTATGTGAGGAGGAAAGCTTATGCCTGGGCGGACGCCCGACTCACTGCTGCCGTCACTGGCACCAGTGCTGATGATACTGCTGATGCTGCTGGTGCGGATGGTGCCGCTGCCGTTGTTGGTGCTGCCACTGATGCTGGTTCTGACGTGCTCCCTCTCTTCCCTTCCCTCTCACAGGAACGCCACAGAGTATGTGAGGAGGAAAGCTTATGCCTGGGCGGACGCCCGACTCACTGCTGCCGTCACTGGCGCCAGTGCTGAAGATCCTGGTGATGTTGATGGCACTTTTGCCGCTGCTGGTGCTGCCACTGGTGCTGATGCTGGTGGGGAGGAGGAAGAGTCAGAGGAGGAAGAGGAGGCAGAGCAGCGGCTGCAGCGGCGGAGGGAAGCAGAGGAGAAGCGGAGAGAAGAGCAGCTGTTGAAGCTGCCTTCCCCTTTGCAAGTGAGTTCATTCATGCCATTCCATGCCATATCACACCATGCCATGCCATGTCAAATGAACCGGACCATGGCTTCCCTCTGTTATCCAGCAACCTCCTCTCTCCTCTCCCCTGAACCTCCTAATCCGCTTTCTTTATGCTGCTTTCCTCCTCCCGATCTAAAACCCGTCCCATATGCTGTGTCCACTGCAGGTGACATGGCTGTACCGGTCGAATCGCCGCACGATCACGAACGTGGGGGACGTACTGCAGCTGCTCACAGCACACTTCCGCATGCCCATCCACATCATCGAACTCTCAGAATCCACACCGTAAGTCCCCTTCCTCCCTGCCTCACGCCTTGCCGGTGCCACACCTGCTGCTTGCATCTCTGCGGCTGCATCTCTCTTCCCCCCCACTGCTTCATGCCATGTTGCAGCTGCTCACAGCACACTTCCGCATGCCCATCCACATCATCGAGCTCTCAGAATCCACACCGTAAGCCGTTGAAATTGCTCACCATGTAAAGTTTTCAGGCGCTTCATACGTTCACATTATTGACCTCTCTGGAATTATAATAGGCAACAATCGGCACGCGTACGACCCCACCTTCACTCCCTCATGCCGTTCTGCTGCCATTCCTAGTGGTATCATCAAACCTGTGTTACTCTCTTCTTTCTTCCCTCATCTTTCGTCCGCCCTCAGACCCTAGTGTTTCTCAATTCCCACCCTCACCCTCACCCTCACCCTCACCCTCACCCTCACCCTCACCCTCACCCTCACCCTCACCCTCACCCTCACCCTCACCCTCAACCTCAACCTCACTTAACCTCCCCTCTCCTTACCATCACAGGTTCGACCAGGTGGTTCACACGATGCGGCACACGGCCTTTGCCATGGGCATGCACGGCTCTGCCCTGGCGAACCTCATCTTCCTGCCCTCAGGGGCGTCAGCCCTGGAGCTCATTCCCTACAAGTACCGCTACTTCCCCTACCTCACCATCGCGCCTCTCTTTAACATTAATTACCACCAGTGGACCAATGAGAAGCGCGAATTCGCGTCGTTCGATGATGGGTGCTTTGAGGGGAAGTGGGCCAAGCTGAGTCCGTCGGACTGCTGGAAGTTAAAGCCGTGCTTGCGCTGTGTGCGGGACCATGCGCGCACGCATGTGGATCCCGAGAGCATTGGGCCTGTGCTGGCTGATATTGGACGAGAAGTGCGCATATGGATTGGCATGTATGGCTTACCCGGTTCCTGAAACGCCATATACGGTCCTTCATCCTTCACCATATTGATTGAGAATTAGGTAGGTAGTGAATGAATGTATAAATGGAGCAGTGAATGTACAAGGTTATGGTTTGCACGCACTTGCTTCTTGCTAGCCGCTCAAATAAATATGCTAGTGGCATTGCTGCCACTACGCTTATTACCATAATCATCCAACGCCTACAATATACACTCCAAAATCCGCCTAGTTATAACCAACCCTTGCACCATGCCCCACCTCACAAGAAGTAAAGCAATGCATAGAACACACAACCAAGGAAAAACCCTCACACTGCCCACAGCCCAGCACAACACCCCTACTCAGACATCAACTGGAAAAGAAGCAGCTCAGGGGAAACGGTTGCTGCAACCCTCTCCGCTGAACAGCTTCTCAGCCTGCACTATGCTGCCACCTCTTGACTCAGCCCATCCTGGCACTCTAGCGTAGTCACCTCCATGCATCACTCCAACCAACCTTCGCCGCCCCAGCTGCTTCTCTTCCTTCACCACCTCTAAACTCATTCCAGCACCTTCCTCAGCACCGCTTCCCTATGCCCTGCCACCAGCTGCACCGCACCCCTCCCCTTCTCTCCCACAGCACGCCATGAACTTATCCGCATGCCAGAACAGCACCGCCTGCCTACACACACAGCTGCATCACTCCAACCCTCACCACCCCTGAGTTGCACCTTAGCCGCCACCACCCGCATTGCTGCGACCCGCGCCCTACAGCTGCTGCTTCGCCACCACCACCTCTCAACTCACCCCAACCGCCTTCCTCAGCACCGCTTCCCTATGCCCTGCCACCAGCCGTCTCCCACAGCACTCCACGAACTTATCCGCATGCCAGAACAGTAGCGCATCCATCGCCTTCCTCCTCTTCAGCTCAAGTGAATCCCCAGGGGCGAGGAACAGGCAGTTGCCTGCTGGCGGCCAGGGGATGTCCCAAAAGTGGAGTGGGTTGGTGCCAGGGGTGCGGCTGCTGGCGGCACCAACGCTGACTGCTTGCTTCCGGAGCTGAGTCATCTTGCTTGAGTATTTCTCGTAGGTCATTGGCGCACCTGAAGGGACATGCATGCACGCACGTATGTGGGCACACAAGAGAACATATGAGTACATACGAATACGTACAGCACATGTGCATGCCAGCTCACTCCACCCCCATCTCCCCTCCCACAACCAAGCACCCTATCATCCGAATGAATCCATAAATCAGATACACACACATGAAATACAAGCATTCCATGACGCAAAACCAAAGAGAAAAAATCAAACTCTAGTGGGCAGCCATACAGCGCTTCACTCGTTCTCACCTGCTTGCCGCCGTTGACACTCCTCCTCCAGCTGCTTCATCTTCTCATCCAATGCCTTTTGAGTTGACTCAAAAGTCATTTCGAGTCAACTCAAAAGTCTCACTACAAGCAGCCATACAGCGCTTCACTCGCTCTCACCTGCTTGCCGCCGTTGACACTCCTCCTCCAGCTGCTCCAACTTCTCATCGAATGCCGCCCCCTCCTTCCTTGCCCTCTCCGTCTCCTTTTCCTGCGCCCGCCTCTTCTCCTGCTCCCTCTTCGCTTCCTCCTGCGCCCGCCTTTCCTCCTCCTTCCTCCTCTCCTCTTCCATCTCCCTCTCCTCCTTCTCCTTCCTCCTCAGCTCCTCCTTCCTCTTCTTCTCCTCCTTCTGTCTCGTCTCTTCCTCCTTCTTCCTCAGATCCTCCTTAATCTTCGCCTCCTCCTTCCTCTTCCTCTCCTCCTCCTTCACCCTCTTCTTTTCCGCCTGAACCCTCGTCCTCTCCTCCTCCTTCGCCCTTTTCATCTCAGCAGCCTGCTTCGCCTCCTCCCGCTTCCTCCGCGCACCCTCCGCCTTGCTTCTCTTCACCTCCTCAGCCTTTCTCTGACACTCCTCCGCCTTCCTCTTCTTTGTCACCTCTCCCTCAGTACGCAAGATCCTCTTCTGTGCCGCAGCAAGAGCAGCTTTCACACGAGCCTCCCACTCCCGCAGCCGGGCGTTGAACGAAGCAAGTTCGCTTGCTGAAGCGCCATTTGGAGGAGGCGGGGGCGGGGGACCCTAATGTGCGGATTTGGGTGAGGGCCGGAAGGGGTAAGGGAATAACAGTGAAGGGAAGAGTCAAGAGGCGGGTTGGGGGGAAGAGGACGGGGGACAAAAAGGGAGGGGAGGGGAAGAAAGAAATGGAGGGGAAAGGAGAGGGGAGGTGAGAACAACACTGCCAAGCGTGGTTCTTGGACCTTAGGAGGGATCAGACGCGCAGAACAAGGCTTCTTAGAACAGGGCTGCGAGAGAGAAGCCAGAGACAGAGGATGAGAGGAGAAGGGAGGGGAGGGAAGGGGAGGGGAATCGTGGAGACTGGACAACAAGCACAAGTGGCAACGGTACTCACAAAAACATCATTCTTTTGCCGCTGCTGCTGCTGCTGTGCCCGCTGCTGGTGCTGCTGCTGCTGCTGGTGCTGCTGCTGGTGCTGCTGCTGCTGTGGCCGCTGCTGGTACTGCCGCTCCAACTCCTCTATTCTCGCCCTAAACTCTTCCTCGAATCTCCTCCTGATCTCCTCTTCCCTCTTCTTCCATTGCGCATCTCGCTCAGCACTCCCCTCGGCCTGCCGCTCCTCCTCCTCCCTCCTCTTCCCCTTTTCCCTCGTTGCATCATTAGCTGCAGAAGCATCAGCAGAGGCACCAGCAGCAGAAGCAGAAGCAGCTGACTTCTCAACCTTGTCGTCCTTCTCATCCTCTTTCCTCACACTCTCCCCATCCTCTCGTTCCACCTCCTTCCTTTTCCACAGACGCTCCTCTGCCGCGTTGTCCTGCTGCTGACTCGACACGCCCTCCCCCGTCTCCTTGTGCTTCGTTGCCCGCTCGTCCATTTGCTGCTGTTTCGGCTCCCTCCGCTCCATTCGTCGCTGCCTTGCCGCCCTCTCTTGCAGTACCTGCAAAGACGCCACGTGGCAGCCCAAAACACTTAGAACGCATCACACAACCTGGAAATGATCGAATCACACAAAGCTCTTACACGAACGCACATATGACATAACCATTCATGGCACACTTTACCTTTTCCTGTCGTTTCTTCGTCAACAAGTGATTCTGGCCCTTCAGCCAGCAAGCAGCGCACTTGCCAGGGAAGCAAGGCATCTTCCCGGCCTTGACATCTGAAATGAAGTCCTTCAAGCGCACAACCTCCAGGTGTTGATGCTGCTGGGGGCTTACGGTGCACGCCACCCGAATGTTTTCCTTGCGACCTTCTCCTCCTTCCACGTCCATGAAAAGTCGCGTCGTCAACTTTCCTGCTTCGCACCAGGTGTTCACGAGATGAGAAGTGAATAGATAGACGTCGGAGAGCGTCACAGAGCGTTAGGCCCTTCGGTTGCCTAAATCACGGGAGAACCGAAGGAGCTTCAAGACGTTTCGAAACTGGATCACGCGAAGAGCTAATGAGATGTGAGATGCCTGAGAGCTAAATCACGAAAAAGGCAAACAAAGAGATGGGATCGGAATGTTGCTAAAATAAAATAAAAACGAGGCAAGGATACGAGAGGCGGAGAGGGGCAAACAAAAGACCTTGCCATTTCACGTACCTTTTTCAAAAGATGATGATGACTGGAGCTCGAGCTTTCCGATGTGTTGAACGGCGATCGTAACCCCAGCATAGGAATCAGCCGGGTTACATCCAGGCCGTGCGATGAAGTGCAAAGCCAGCGCTGAACTTTCGTTATCAGGACCTTTTCCGCCGTTCTCCTCATCAGCGAGGCCCGGCTTAAAGCTTGATAGGTTTATCAAGCCTCCGCAGGGGGGTATCCGGCTCGACGGAATGCGGATCACTGCGACGTGGCCTTTTGGCCGTCCGATGCGCTGTGAACCGCGCTCAAAGGCGGCTGAGATGTTGAAGCAGCCGAGGTGCTCAGGTTCCACGAGCGAGTTCACGACCATGTTGATGGTCGGAGATGGGTCGTAAATGGAGTTGAGATGGATGAAAGCAGGCGAAACCAGGCGGCGTTTCGGAAGTCGGAAACAGGTGATGTTGCGAGAGATGGAAACCGTGTGGCGAGAAACGGAAACCGTCGATGTTTCCAAAGGCTGATGCAAGTGCGAAAATCGGTCAGGTGGCCGGTGGTATGGGAGGCTGATTAGTCGGAGGTAGCGATGATAAGATCGTTTGCACGAAAGCAACTCACGAAGAGATATGATGAAGTCTGGGTCAATGGTTGCTAGATCTATAATCGACCAGCGAAAGTGGACGTCTGGACGAGGACGAACGACCTTCTGATTCAAGCGTGTAAAAGCATCGCCGTCAATGAAGAGACGAGACGACATGAACGGTGAACGGGATGACATGACAGACGACAGTGGCTCCACGAATCTCAAGGTGAGCGAGACGAAGCGCAGACACAGCTTGGCGGGGCAATTGGTAGGCGCAGTGCGCGAGCCGCCGTGAAGTTTCTCCGCTGGCAGAGAAGTCAGAGCGGCTGCTTTGGGGGAGTGACGGGAGTGTAGGAGGCGGGAACTCGATAAAAGGTGTCCCAGAACCACATAAAGCATAAAGCTTTTGTTTCCTTCCATTCCCTGGCTTATGCCTAACAAGAACCCGTTTCCTTGTTTTTCTCACCCTACTCCTCGTTGTTGAAAGGTGAAATCATTTACTCAGACTACTCTGATGACATATTGCATACGTAATGCAATGCTTACCGGTACATCCATGGCCATTGCGCATTTAGTATGTGACCAATATCCAATAATGTGGTTGCTGCGCACTCTCTGAAACATTGCACTACCTCCGGTCCTACCCATGCTCAAAAATCAATAGAAGCAGCCAATATACTAAGATGCAGCCTTCTTGTTGTGTTGCATAAATCGGAGGGCCAGGTATGTGCCAATCCGACATGCAATACAGAATAGGATGAGGAAGAGCCAGTCGTAGCTGTATTCAGAACGGAGAGAACGGGCCGTGGATACATATGTCCATTGAAAGCTGCTGCTTCCCTCGATGCGCGGACACGAGCAATCGTGGCATGATGAAACAAGTGTAGCACAACCAGGACTCACACAACTGGGGCTTTTGGTGTCGCAGTAGAAAGCTATGGCAGTCATAGCATTCAATGCATACTGCAAGAAGATGGCACAGTGAACGACATGTAAGACCAGAAAAACAATACTAGCTTCATACCTGTAAAGGGTTGGTCCAATAAAATGGCCTGAAGAAGAAGTGCATTAAACTGTATGGGACCACGTATCCTGCAGTGCTTATCCATACTCCAGACACCATAGGCACGAGCATGAATGCAAGCTGCAGAGAATATGGCAGGTCAGGAGATATTGGAAATGAAATGCAGGACAGACCATCAGTTTTCAGAGAGCCTGGGGGCTTGGACAAGTAGTAACTCACTCTTGGGTTTGGAAGAGCCACTGAAAGAAGAAACCCAAGGTAGGTGATACCGAGGGAGAAAAGGAAGTGGGAGAACCAAAATGCGAAGAACTGTGACAAGCTGGAAACTGCAACTTGAGCTAGGCCCGTTGATATGACAATAAATATCAGAGTCGTTACAATAAGATACGGAATCTGCAAACAGCAAAAAAAAGGTAAGACCATCTGGTCCATGATACAACTCCAGAGCTCAAAACACAAAACTGTGTTGCGTACCTCAACCAGTGTGAAGGAGATGATGTATGTTGAAGCAAAGTACTGTTTATTGAGCCTTTCTCTGTTGAACACATGGCGGATGCGTGTCAGCATTCCCACCACAGTTCCTCCATTAGAGGTGGGCCCAAAGATGAGCAGTGTGAACACAAATCCAGCACGCGCTGAGATCTGGAGGAGAGTAGAGCAGGGTAGGTCGAAAAAGAGGGAGCCAATAACGAGGCCCAGGACACAAGCGACAACTGCACGGGACAGGGTATAAGAGGTGTTCCGCCAGTAGAGGACGTTGATGGACCAATAAACCTTTGCCAGACGCGACATGTAAAGAGACTGCGGCAGGCACCAGCGACTTCTTTGTAGTGTGTCTTTCATTGAAGTTTCTGGCTCATAAGTAGGCGTTGAGGTGGGGCTCAGAGCGTTTCCAGGCTTCCTGGGCTGCAAAGAAGGTTCCTCACTGGCAAGTACAGTGCTGGCATCTGTTCTGCCTTGGTTTGAACGCGCAGCCACCTGGCCAGATCCAGGAAGTGCTGGCATAGCAGCAGTTGAGTCTGATGCTTCTGAAGCATAGAAGGAGTTGGGATTGCGACGAAGCTTCCGCAGGTGCTGGGCGTTGCTCATGGCCAGGGTGCTGATTCGATACTCAAACGCATAGTCACGTGCAGCTACAGACTCTGAAACGCCTTCTCCCATTGCATACTGTAAGAAGCTGATGGGATTCATGTTGTCAGGGAGCATGGGAGTGCCAGGTATGGACTGGAAGTATTCCTGCATATCATAAACAGGGGAAACATCAGTAGAGGAAAAAAAAAAAAAAAAAAAAAAAAAACTGGGAAAACAAGCTATAAATCCCATCCAAGAAGGTCCAACTCTAGCATTCCAGCAATTCACTCACCACAATGGCAGAGCCAAATCGACCAGCAGGTCCAAAGTATACCATTTCACCTCCACTGCGTAGCATGAGCACAGAAGCGAAGCTGTTGAGCTGAACCACTGTTGGCACGTTGGTTGACACTACCATGGCCTTGCCCCAACCTGTTGCCACGCTCTGAAGTGCACAAATACAGAGGAGGTTCAAATGCATCAGGAAACGGGACAAATTTACATCATAGGAGGATGCCATGTTATTACTCTGACATGTCATTACTCACGTCTAAAATCTCTGCAAACTGCACAATCTGCTGCATGTCCATGCCAATGAAGGGGGTGTCAAGAAAAAGAGCCGAGGGGTTTCCTGAAAGCTCCATGGCCAGCACGATTCGCTTTTCTGTAAATACCAGACCGCTGCCACCTGAAGTAAGGAGGTCATTTACCAAATAATCTGCAAGGTCATGTACTCGAGTGACCTTCAGAATCTGAAACATGAGAAGAGGAGATAATGAGGACGAGATAGGCATCTGTACACATCCATAGCAAAAAAAAAAACTGAAAGGTCTCACCTTGTCCACAAACGAGTTACGTGATTTGCGCGACACTGATTGTGGCAGCAGAAGGTCGGCTCGATACATAAGACTCTCTCGAACTGTAAGATAGGGGTAGTGCTGATGGCCTCCTTCAATGTATGCCATGCATTGGATGAATGATTCAAGGTCACGAGTCAGACCATTGACCGACAACTGGCCTGTGATTCGCCCACGAATCTTCCGCCCTGTCACAAGAAAATACTGAGAATTGAGAGGCTTCAAAGACAGCAGAAAAAATAAGTAACAGCAAGATACAGGAATGCTTACCAGCAAGACAATTGAGAAGGCTTGTCTTGCCTGCACCCCTTCCTCCCACAATCCCTGTAATCTCACCAGGCTTGACCCAGCCTGAGATGCTTTTCAGAACTTCCATGTCTCTATCAGAATGGACGGATGTGATCTTGTAGGAAAGATTCTGCCATGCCATCACCACTGGCTGAAACGGTGGACATACAGCCTGCCATCCCTCCGACTCGCCATTCGTGGCTTCTATCTCCCCAAACTCAACCGCAACATCATGGCCATTGCGAGGCTCTGATGGCAACACATCTATACCAGTAGCAGGTCTGATGCCATTGGCACAAGCTGACTCCTTGGACTCACTTTTGGCTGCCAGGCAGCTTGGTGGCAGTATTTTAGGATGCGGAAAGTGCTGATGGTAATACCCTGGAAGGAGGCAGATATAGCTAGCCAGGGTCCAGAGAATGGTCCAGGCGACAAGCACAAGTGGACCAATAAGAAACACGATCCAGTCATAATTCCAACCGCTGGCCTTCAGGTATGCCATCCCCACTGCTTCAGTTGGGTAGGCTTGACAGAATGGATAAGGACTCAATGGCAAGAGAGGGAAGGCAGCTGAGGAGTTGGAAACAGATGAGCTGGGCATGAGATATGTAGGCGGAAGGACTTCTGTGCAAGGAGTATTGAACTTGCTGCTGCGGAATTCATTGACTTGCATCATGGTTGCAGCCCACTGTAGAGCATCAATCCGGTACACCCATATCCAGTAACCCCGGATGAGGGATTGGGGAATGAGGAGATGAATGAAGAGGAAAACGGAAGGGCCCACAAGAAGTGCAGAAAAGAAGGCAGCAGCAGCAGGATTCCGGGTGGAGAAGGCAATGAAACGGACCATGGCTGACCCATGCAGGACGGTGAGAATCATAATGGCATAGAAAATCCAGAAGTGGACACCACCATCACTGAGTGAAAATCCAGCCAAAAAATACACGACGATGGACCACACAGTTGCCTGAAGAAACACGAGGAAAGTAAGCTACACATTCTTAAGAAAACTTCAAAACCCCAAGTTACTGAAACTGGACATACCTCTATGATTGAAAAGGGAGCTCCAGCCAACACATGGGCCAACAGGTAGGTGTATGTGCGAAAGCTTTGGGCAGATGAATGCTTGTAGTAGACCAGACGCTCCTCCATGAATATAGGTAGCTGACTGAGGTTGAACAAGGTCATCGCGACAAGCGAGAGAAAGGTTATTCCTCGACGAAGGTTCAGGTTGCCAACAGTTGGAGGGTCAGAGGGCATCTGAAAGAAGTTGAAGCCATGGAAAAGGGACATGACCAGAATCTGCATCACCAAGACCAAAAGTCATGAAAACGTCAACAAGAGATTTGAAAAGCATGAGTGTAGACAGATTCATGACAATGCAAACCTGAATGAATCTTGCCATCAATGCAAATCGATTCCTGCATATTGATAATAGCTGACGATGCAGCAACAGCAAGAATTCTGGCCAAGGGTCCAATATGAACCGAGTATTCAACTGCTTCACCTCATCTTGTGCTTCCTTGACCTGATCACAGAATGTCAACAAATGGTTGCTCAACAAGGAAAGGAAACACATCACAGTTGCCATCTTCCATCACCTTTTCTTCTGTAGACGTTGGCTCTGGTCGTTCAAACTGAAGCTGAACCATGTTGCTACTGTCTTTTAGGTTTTCGAGAAACTTGCCAAGGTCTTGTGGGTCCAGGTCACCACCAACATTTCTCGCATACTCAAACTGCCTTCCCATAAGTGCAAACCCAACAAGCTCATCACCTTCTTCAATAGGCCCAGTCAGGACCAGCTCACCATCCTTGCTATCCTCCTTGCAGTCTGACTTCAGCACGACTATTCTTGAGGTTTTGGCAGAGGAGTTCGCATCGGAGGCAAGACTGAGAGTGATGCGCGTGAGAACAAGCTTGGCTGGTCCAGATATCCAGATGGTACAGCTGATGCCTTTGTTGTTGACAATGCGCATAACATCACGATGAAGCGGAGATCGTTCATATGCACGCACTGTCCACCATAACAAGACCATGTAAGCACCTCATAATAAGTGAAGAACGGAAAAAGGTGAGCAAAACAAAACAGCACGGTCCGTACCAAAGCCATTGAGGTCCAGCTTCTCATAGCCTGGCTCAAGAAGCTGTGCTCCAGCCTCTGTGGAGACAACTTGAAGAAACTCTGGCTCCGATATGTACTTAGGCTTCTTGTACCTGAGAAATAGTTACAAAAATCGGTTTTCAGCTCAGAGCACGTACACGACAGCACCTTCTGAAATGTAAGACCCATACCCCAAGTCCACAAAGTAGCTTGTTGAACAAGCAGTTGGGCCTTGATAGACAACTCGGCCAGAGTTGAGCACGATGACGCGATCAAACAGGTTAAAGACGTCCTGAGTGGGCCATTGTAAACTGCATACCACCACTGTCTGTCGGACCTGAGCATACTCTTTCAGCATGGAAAGGGTTCTGAAAGTAGACGGGCCATCATATAGCTCACTGATGTGATCAAACACCAAAACCTGAAAAGAAACCAGCCTCTATGATTAAGATAATTCACTGGCAGAAACGGAGAGAGAGAGAGAGAGAGAGAGAGAGAGAGAGAGAGAGAGAGAGAGAGAGAGAGAGAGAGAGAGAGAGAGAGAGAGAGCGCAATGGAACTTACTGGGTAAGCCCCAACAACGGTTTCTGCTGCTGTCAGCCGATGCCTTTCATCTTTTGTCAAGCCTGGTGATCCCACATGTGACTTGGCCTGATTTGTCAGACCAAACATCAGGAGCCTAGACTCCACAAGCGGATCCTCTCCAGCATCAAACGCTTCATGCAGGACAGCATGCATAATCTTATCGTGCTTCAGCTGTCGGAGGGTCACAGCACGGGTGAATCTCCGAGCATACTCCAGTGTTTCACGAACAGTTAGAAGAGGAAGATGATGATCCTGCTCTGGAACCATGCCAACGGTGCGGTGAACCTGGACGCTTGTGCTTGGCGTGTTATTGAATCGAATAATACCTTCAGAAGCTGCAAGCTGGCCTCCAATGAGCTTCACAAGCATTGATTTTCCACTTCCTGGGTGTAATACCGAGATTAATTAGGAAAACATCATGCGTCACTTCACAAGTTCATTGCAGAATTTCAACACACCAGCTGGTCCAATAACAAGGGTCAATGTGCCTGGCATGAAGTACCTGCGAATCAACGGTGGTGAAGTATTGAGAAAAGGTAGACATTCAGTGTAAGACTAGATGAGAAACCTCGAAATGAGTACCCGGTTATGTCTTTTAACACTGAGACAGGCTCCTCGGGTGTCAAGACGTTCTTCAAGCTTAGGTACCCCTGCAGTGTTTCAGATTGCGTGATTTCATTTTCCGGGGACATGAAGCTCTGATCTGACTTTATGAATGAGGCCCAAACAACTTACTGCATTCCAGCAATTTCTTGTCGTGGTAGGTAGTGGCTTCGATTTGCCGACATACTGAAGTCCTTGAACCTTGACTACCTACGGAACCACACTTAATCAGTAGAAAACCTTGTGAAGATGCACACACGAGGTCCTGGACCATATTGTACCTGAGATGGATTACGAGGCAAGTATGGTTTGATCGAGAGTAGATAGTTTCTCAGTCCAGTCTTCAACAGCAAACTTGTTCCACGAGGCATTTCAAGCTCCTCAATCTCCTCGTCGCCCGTCAATGCTGAAAAATCCTTTACGGTTGAACTGACAAGGTTTGCTGCCTCCTTAGACAGGCCATGGCTCTTGAGAACATCGTGATAAGCCTTGATAAGATGGATCAAAGCTGCTTCGCCAACGCCATTTAGAGCCTCAATCAAACGCAAGTCATCTGTTTCTGATATTTGGGAACTAAGACGCCGAATGGCTTCTGACAGTCCTGAACTTTGCCGACGAACAGAGTGTGAGATCCCTGAGGATTGGCGACGCATCGAGACTGTATGTGATCCCTCATACCAGTTGTCCACCTCCTCACTCAGCCGACGAGGTGGTTGAGGGGTTTCAACATGGGGAACGACGCCTTTCTCATCCATGGTTTCTTCTTGTTCTGCCAGTGAAAAAAACTTGCAGAAATCTGTCTGTGATGTTCAGCTTAGAAAACTAGACATTGCGCGTGGTTTGAAGCTCACAGAATTATGGCGGATAGCTGGTGGATAGCTCATTCGACCTTAGCCGTTATAACAGAACCAGAACTAGCTTAGCCACTGATGAATTGGAGAATGCCGGCTGACATAACCTGACTCTAGTTCAACGAACGAAAGCGGATTCTGTGTTCTCGGAGAATCCACTTTCATTCGTTGAGCCCAGCTCACTCCGGGCGTGTTCAGAGAGGAATGGGAACGAACACGCTTCTCAAACACACCCAGTAACCCGCGTGGGGAGGCTCGAACTGCATTTGCGACGAATGTGCTGTATTTGCGACGAGCTCAAACTGACAAATCTCAAATGACCTAGTTCGCCCGAACGAAGAACAAGCAGCATTTCGTGTTCCATACTGCCCAAACGAAACGAGGCAGTACAGATCGTGTTCCATCCCTCACGTCGGGTCAGATCAGAATAGCATCGGTTCCTTATGAAGCAATACAATACGGTGCTTTCTGGTTTGGAAACCAAGTTGGTATTTACAATCCCTGACGCATTCTACGTTCTCGTGTGCCAAGCCAAACAAGCTTATCAGGTGCTCAAGGCGCATGGTCCGTTTTGCCTCCCCTATTCCCCCGCTCCCTCCGTCTATGGTCACTTTTTCTTGAAAAGGCTAAATAGCTGAAACCTTGTGATTAAACCACAGCCGACTGTTTCTGCCGTCCTTGCGCAGAAGAGGGAGAAACGAGCAGTCAATCCATAATGGCGGCATTTCCACCGCAAAATCCGCCGGGGCCTCCGCAACCGGCCGTGCCGTCATTAGATCTCACGGGCCTATGTTTTCGCGACCAAATATTTCTAAATTTCGTTGGCGGATGCCTCGTGCCGGGTAACGTGTTTGACTATTTCGCTAACTCGCCGTTCTACGATCGCACGTGCAACAACGAGCAGCTGAGGATGCAGGGCATTCATCCTCTTGACACAGCGCGCCTCAGGTAGGTGTTATCTCAGTTAAGCATTTGTGCTAGGTCATGTTCGTGTGTCAAAATCCTTGCCTCTGGTGCATCTGCGTTTCCGTTGTGGAGAGCTCATTTGGTTCTGGCTCTCCAGCCATCTTGCCTTTGAAAGGAGAGTCCGCTTTCTAGGCAACTCTAGATATAAACTACGTCCACAGCAACTCAAACATGGGAACTGCACACAAGTCTTCCTCCTATGGGGCTTCATGTTCTGAGGTGTCTCATGTTATGGCGCTTACTCCTACGCAGGCGCATACTCCTACGCATGCGCATACTCCTATGCTGGTTCTTACTCCTATGCTGGCCCATATTCCTATGCTGTCTCTTACTCCTACGCTGGTGTTTACCCCGACCATCCTCTTACCCCTATGGTGGAGCTTTATCTCCTTCCCCCCTCCCCCCCCCCCCCCCCCCCCCACACCCCCACCCCACCCCTCTCACCCTTCTCTTTCCTTCTCTTTTCCAGCATCCTGGAAGAGGGTGTGATTGTTTGCTGCACATGGAGCAGATTTGAGACGTCTTACAAATCGTTTCCTCCTTGTTCTCTCGTCCAGGGAGATGCTGGGGTGGAAGTTCTCGCTTCACATGGCCGCAGAAGCACTTTGAATCCTCCACGTGTTGAGACGTCTCACCACTTGTTTCTTCCCTGTCCCCTCGTCTAGGCATATGGTGGGTTGGGATGGGTGCAAGTACTCGCTGCACATGGCTGGCACAAAGGCCCCTTCGAATAATCCTTGTTTAAAAACGTCTCACAACAAACCGTTTCTTCCCTTTCCCCTCAACTAGGGAGGTGAAGTGGGAGTGTTTGCTGCAAATGGCTGGCGTAGGAGCCGCTTCCAATCCTCCTTGTTTGAAAAAGTCTCACATGAACCCGTTTCTTCCCTCTCCCCTCGTCCAGGGAGATGGTGGGGTGGGAATATTCGCTGCACATGGCACAGGAGCCTCATTTGTTCGTGCTGCGGAAGCAGAAAAGGGACGGTTCAGATCGCACCACGCCCGTGGCTGCATACTACATCCTGGATGGGTCCATCTACCAGGCCCCTTCACTGCATGCCGTTATTGGTTCTCGGATCGTGAGTCACTCCGTCAGTCTAACAGTCAGTCGGGCATTCAGTCAGTCAGTCGGGCATTCAGTCAGTCAGTCTGTCTGTCTGTCAGTCTGTCAGTCAGTCAGTCAGTCAGTCAGTCAGTCAGTCAGTCAGGTCAGTCAGTCAGTCAGTCAGTCAGTCAGTCAGTCAGTCAGTCAGTCAGTCAGTCAGTCAGTCAGTCAGTCAGTCAGTCAGTCAGACTGTCAGTCAGTCAGTCAGTCAGTCAGTCAGTCAGTCAGTCAGTCAGTCAGTCAGTCAGTCAGTCAGTCAGTCAGTCAGTCTGTCAGTCAGTCTGTCTGTCTGTCTGTCTGTCAGGCCGTGTCAGGCCATGCCTGTGCTTCTGTGTGGTGAGGCGTGTCTACTCTAGACCATGCAGTGCCACTGGTAGCCTACCCTATGGCACTACTCTGGGATCCGATTGTTGCAGGCCATTTCTGAGAATCTCAAAATGCGACATTGCTGCATGCCCTCATCGTCTCAACGCTCATTCTCTCAGAACATGCAATGTTTTCCCTTATGCTGACTTTCTGTGGAATCGAAAGCTCAGTTGACTGTTATCATGACTAGAGGTTTGCTTTTACCAGGCTCAGCCGCGGCGTGCTGCAATGGCCCTATGTGTGCTCCACTGTCATTTGGCAATGACACTGCTGGCCATGCTCTCACTGCCTCTCATTTCGCTATGACGCTGCTGGCCATGCTCTCACTGCCTCTCATTTCGCTATGACGCTGCTGGCCATGCTCTCACTGCCTCTCATTTCGCTATGACGCTGCTGGCCATGCTCTCACTGCCTCTCATTTCGCTATGACGCTGCTGGCCATGCTCTCACTGCCTCTCATTTCGCTATGACGCTGCTAGCCATGCTCTCACTGCCTCTCATTTCACAATGATGCTGCTAAGCATGCCCTCGCTTCCCACCTGTGCTGTTACCTTCCTCCAATTCTCTCGTTTCCTTCTTCCTCCTCACCTGTCTATCAATTCTCTCGTTTCGCCCCTCCGCTCCTCTTCTCTTTTCATCCCCAACGCTTTCAATTTCAATCCAATCCCAATCCTCAATCTCATGCCCTGTCCCCATTCCTCCCTCTGCCCCCTCCCCCCTCGTCCCTCCTCCCCTCCCCCAGTGCCGTGCCCTGCATCATCTCCGGGCAGCCTTTTCTATGACCCGGGCGGCTCTCGACAATCCCGAAGCTGCCCGGTCAAAAGAAGGTATGGGGCATGGTGGGAACGATGGGTTTCTGCAGAGATCATAGCTACTACAAGGAACAACAGGGTTGTTCCATCCTCTTCCCACCTTCCTCACTTCTCATGTCACCCCAGCAGAGCGGTCAGGGTCGGAAGGGGCGTCAGTTGAAGCCCCTGACACGCCAGCAGCATCAGAGGCAAAGCCAACCGCAGCAGACGTGAGGGAGGGCACAACTGGACCATGTCATCATGACCGTTGTCCGGAAGCTCACCCCAGCTCTACCTCCCCCATATATCAGGCTCGTCATTTCACACCCAGTCAAGCTTTTCGAGACATAATCAGAATCGTTCCACACTCGTGTTTCCTGCCTTTCCCCGTCTGAACAACCCATCTCGCCCCAGCAGAGCGGTCAGAGTCGGAAGGGGCGTCAGTTGAAGCCCCCGACACGCCAGCAGCATCAGAGGCAAAGCCAACCGCAGCAGACGTGAGGGAGATGGCACGACTGGACCACGTGATTATGAACGTTGTTAGGAAGCTCACCCCAGCTCCACCTCCCCCAGATATCGCCTTGCCGGCGCTGCCACAGCCAGTAGCAGCAGGTGAAGCAGCAACGGCAGAGGACAAGACAGGAGGGGCGGGTACCGCTGCTGCTGGTGCTGCTCCTGGTGCTGCTGCTAGTGCGGCTGGTGGTGCTGCTTCTGCTGCTGCCCCTGCAACTGGTGCTGGGGCGACTACAGGGGCTGGGAAGAAAGCAGGGGCAGGTAAAGCGTCGACAGCAAGGAAGGCGGGGACAGCGAAGGCGAGAGCTGGGTCAGGTGCTAAGGCTGGTGCTGCAGGGAAGAGTGGTGGTGCCGCTGCCGGTGGTGGTGCTGGTGGTGCTGCTGCCGGTGGTGGTGCTGGTGGTGCTGCTGCTGCTGCTGGAGGGACCAAGACAACAAAAGCAGTGCATTCGAAGCCCACACAAGAAGGGGAAGTACGGAAAGTGAAGAAGGCCAGAAAGGCTTAGTTTATGCTTACGCTCCGAAGTTGTGGGTCGAGTTGGCTGATATATGGTGTATAAATCAGCCTTTCAAGAAGCGCACTCACAGAAGCATGTCAGAGGATGATAGCAGGTACCGGTATTCTTCACAAACCATGAGGGAAGGTTATGCATCAATTTGAGTAAGCATTTTTCACAACCCAGTGCATCTCCCCATGCATTTATATATATACAATGCAATGCATAACATGGTACAGGTCTAGGAGATGCTGAAGCATTTGCCCTCTTGCACTGTCAGTGTGCCCCCATGACTCATGCAGGTACTCAAGCTACATCATGGACAAAAACCTTCAGGCAGCCCGTCTCCATATTTCAGTAAATCCCCTACCACACCCACAGTTTTTCTTTCCCACCCACCCCCCCTTCCCTTCCATCCTTCCCCCGTTTCTCCCCATTTCCCCTCTTCCTCCCTCCTTCCCCCATCCCCAGGCCCCACCTCCCCCGTCCCATTTTCCCCCCTCACGCCCTCACTTTTCCCAACTCCCGCTTCACCAACTCACTTTGTACACTTTCCGACAGGCAAATACCCAACCTATGTAGCGCTCGTTATTCCTAACTAACATAACATTACTCGCTTCTTGCCCCGGCCGACCATGTTCCCACAGGTCCCCCGCCCCGCCCACCCCATCGTCTTGCGTAAAAGGTTGAATGTAAACGTAGTGAATGTGAACGGAGTCTCGTGTCCCTTGACCTGTCCGCCGTTTGTTTAATCTCCTCTCCGCAGTTTATTCCTGCATCATTAAATGCCGTGCGCCGAAAAAAGAAGCAGCGAGCAGCACGGCCACGATTCCCGCCACCACCAGGGTCGCCGCGGTGTAGCTTCCGCGTTCGCCGGGCTGCTTCCAGAGCGTGTCGTGCGCGTGGCGCGCCTTGCGGTGATCGTGGCCCTCGTGCCTTCCCATAACGCGCCGACGCTCCGCCGACGGTGGCATGTGACGGACCTCTGCACATGCGGGAAGAACGGTACAAGGAAAAGAAAGTGAATATTGCAGGAGCTTGTAGAGGTAGATTTGTGAGAGCGGATGAGGGGTTGAGAGAGATTAGCGCGAGAACGGAATGTCGAGGTAGAAAATGGTGCATAATGAAAGCGAAATCAGCTGCAGCAGTCTGTCTCGAGAGCTTGAGGAGACCTTTATTTGCCATTTTCCCGACACTGGAGTCGTGGGAGTGCGATAATCCCACGAAGCGTGAACCTGTCTTCGTCATAAAAAAAAAAAAACGTAAATCTTGCGAAAGGACTAATCCTACAAGTCGGAAACCGATGGAGCTGGGACTTTATTCACGACGAATGACGAACATTTGCAGTGCTCACATTGCAAGAACAGACATGCAATTGTAAACTATTCACGCACATTTTTGTACGAATGGAGCTGGAAGTCTGGCATTCAGCTCTTGGCATGAATCTGTGGAACAACATTGGTAAGGGAAGAAAATGACGACTTCTATGGCATTCGGGCAGTCTATTGCGTCTGATTCCCCAAGATTACATAGAACAGTTTGAGAGAGGTTCAGACTGCTTCCAGATTGTGGTTCCGTGGAAGTGGGCGAAAACACTCCCTAATTATACCGCAACATTCACATCCTACATTTGTTCGTGTTTCGTGTTTTACCTTTACATTTCCTCAAAGCCAGGGCAGCACCATGTTCGCCTCAACTGTTGCTCGACAATCCAGCAAGGCCAGAAAGTGCGGAAGCCCAATGACGGAAAATTTGGCGAGGCAGGTTACCATGGCCACGATAAGCCTTGTCAGCTTTGGCGAAACCTGTTCACTAGCCAACATCGATTTGCGGTGCTGACTTGGTGCGACGCAACGTCACATAATCACTTGCATGCGTGGAACAGTCTCGACACTCTAATCGGGCCGAAGTTGGGCCCCTCCTTCCGAAGCCCGGGGTCCGAACCCAGCCGATGAAAATGAATATTCTAATATAATAACGAAAAGTGAGGCAGCATCTCATAGAAATCGCCTTCCGCTCTCAGAATTCCACTCCGCACTGATTTCACAGGGTGTAAAGCGCGAAAATACATTCCGCCCCGCTTGTCAACCACGGTGCCATGCCTTCTCCCCACGAAAATCTACCAGGCTTGCATTCACTCGCGCGATTTGTTTTTCCTTAGCCCCACTTGTCTCGATTTGTAACAAACATACACCCATCCACCCGGAATTCGTGGAAACGTACTTTATTGCGGGTGTAAATAGCCCGAGTGTTCGCGGGGTTTGCCTGCTGATCTGGCCTGTGAGTTCGCGGACTTCTAACTTTTGGGGCACGAGACATGAATTTACCCTGCATTGTCCCTGCACAGCGGGCTTTCACTCGGTGGCGCGAAACATTTCGCTTCAGCTAAACGAATTTTTGCGCTACCACTGTGCTCACACTCGTGTGGAATTTTCGCGGTGAGTTTCTGGACTTTTCCCACTCGGTAAATTGGTATGTGCTTGAAGTTGGTGCAGAGCATGTAGTCGGCGGGTGGGGCGGGCGTTGTCCGTTTATATATTTGCTTTTGGCGCACTCATGTTGCCCCCAAATTCGTACACGTGGATATAGATTGACTTCGCTAGTCAAATCGCCTGTATGTTTGCGGATTTTCAGCGGGGAATTCCGCGCGAAAGACCTTTCATTAAGTGACGCGAAAACTTACGGGACACTTTCAAATTCTTTGTTCGCTCTTGTGGATTCAGTACGGTAAACCGCATAATCTTACGGTTTTAAACGGTATAATATCACAACCGTTGTGAACCTTTTTGTATCGTATTTGACCGCGGGAAACGAACGGAAAATGCAGACGCGGAAAGTTCTTTGGTTCGCTTGTGAATATCACCAGGCAAGTTCACGGATTTCAGGTTTTCGCTGCTCAATTTATATTTTTTATAGTTTGTTTTCTCCCAACAACTGCGGATGTTTTCGCGCGCAATACTTTTGCATTCGCAACTTGAAATGTACGAATTGTGCTGGCGCAAATGAGCCGCGGATGTCGGTGGTGAAAACTTTGACAGAAACGCAACCGCGAAAACTTCTTCATGCACTTGTCTTTGCCCCAGAATTCGTGGCACGCATGAAGCGATTCGTTTTGGTGGTGAATATCGTCCGTGTCCTCGCGGATATATAACTTTCGCTTAACCACTTATCTTAAGTTTTCTCAGCAACAGCGTGAATATCTGAGCGCGAAACTTTCGAGGGGTGCGAAAACAATCGGCGCATGAATGTGCCGCAGATGTCGGTGGTGCCCCTGCAAATACAGTGTACAGTGGCCCGATTGTTTCGCGGTCATGATTAATCGCGGTCACGAACGTACACGTACACGCCTTTTTCGGTTTTGTTTTTTTCGTGTCAGCTGCACACAGGTGATTCCGTCCGATGAATATGTTGCGTGAATGAAACCACGGTTTGTTTCTCCTTATTCTAGTTTTCTCTTTCGCTCGCGGGAGCTTGGTTGCAAGTCGGGGAGGCGTTCCTTAGACGGTTTCGCGGATGTTGTCATTCACGTAGACGCATTTACGCGGGTGAACTCTTTATTTGTAGCGATAAATGTTATCAGGAATCTTCATGCGCGCGAGGAAATTCCCCACGCCCGTCCGTTACCCATCTTTCCCAAGTTTCGTGGGGCGCGCGAAATGCTGTGCCAGATACGGTTAAGAACGGTAAAGACCTTTCACCGCTGCGAGTTGTGTTTGTACCGTATGTGACCGTGGGAAATAAACAAGAAACCGTACACCATTGTCGTATTTGCTTCCCCAGTGGATATCACTAGAAGCTTTCGCGGATTTCAGATATTTGCTGTTGTAGTTTGTTTTATCCCAGCAACTGTTGATGTTTTCGCGCGCGAAACTTCACTGGGTGGCTCGAGAAGTATTGCTGCTTGGTGGCGCGAAAACTTTTGTGTGTGCTGTACCGCACGATCTATGCTGGCGCATGAATGAGCCGCGGATGTCGGTGGTGTCCTGCAAATAGCCAGATAATTTCGCGGTCATGGAAGAATCTCGA